AACACTGGGCTAGGGAATGTGTGTGTGTGTGTGTGTGTGTGTGTGTGTGTGTGTGTGTGTGTGTGTGTGAGGGAGATAGAGCTAAGACAGAGACAGAGAAATACAGAGAGAGGGGGTAGGGACAGAAACACAGAGACAAAGAGAGACATTTTACAGTTGCAACTGTTGGGAAGTTCCGCCCCCAAGAACACAGGCCCACCCTCATTTGCCTAGTACCTGGGGATGCAGCTGGGCAGCTAGAGTGGCCACCCCAGGGGAGCAGGTGTGGTTTGAAGGGCGGGTGTGGGCAATCTCGACTCAGTTTCTTCCCTCCTGTCACACCCTGGCCTTGTTTCTGCCTGATGATTGCTTTATTACTGTTTTCAGTCAGATGTAATTCTAGCATTTTCTATAATCTCGATCTTTTCATTGATACGAGATCTTTATACAAAGAATTTGTATATAGGATGATTAGACACCCACCAGCACACATCCCCAGGCAATTAGAACGTTTGAAATGCACTGCAGCAATTCGAATCCCTCATTTATTACTTTGGAAAGTGTTTTATGATTTTTCTTTTTTGGGGGGGTGTTTACAAAACTCAACAACAATTCTCATTTCCAGTTTCAAAACACGAAGCCATTTTGAACGGAGACAGATGGCGGTTAAATGAAGTTTAATTAAAGAATGAGCGCGTTGAATCAAATCACTTTGCAAAGTGTGGCTGGCGCTCAGATTCTTGAGTGCTTGCATAAATAGCATCTGGAAGCCTCTGCAGACATCCAGGAAGGTGTTCCCGGGGTGGGGCGGGGATCCAGGAGCACAGGAAGCAAGGGGCAGGCCTGACCACAGCTCCTAAAGTTCGGGACCCAGGAAGTGGGGTGGGGCTCAGACATGAGACCAGGACAGGGGAAACAGGCAAATTCTTAGACGAAGTCAGGTGTGCTGGCACACCTGTAATCCCAGCACTTGGGAGGTAGAAAGCAAGAGGATCAAAAGTTCTGTCTGCACCATAATGAGTTTGAGACCAGCCTGAGTAACCCAAGAAGACCCTGTCTCAGACTACAACAACAAAAGATTGCTTTGGAGGGGTACCCTTAGTTAACGTTTTTGGTGGGTGTCATTATTATATTTTCTTAATTTTGGACTTTGAGAGAGGGTCTCATGCAGCCCAAACTGTTTTCCTACTCTTGATCCTTCTGCCTTCTCAGTATTGGGGTTACAGACACGTCCCACCCCACTGTGCCCAGTTTTATGCAGCGCTAGGATGGAATCCAGGGCCTGCTGCATGCTAGGCAAGCGCTGTACTGCCTGAGCTACATCCTTCCAGCCCCGTTTTGTTTTGAGACAGGGTCTCCACAGGCCAGGCCCACTGAATTCTAGGGATCTGCTGAGGGAATGTGCGGCTTTGTATTGCTTACCGCCTTCGGATCTGGTTTCCCAGTGCCAGCCCCATCTAGGGGCCCCATCCAACAGTGGGCTCTGATCTGGTTGCCTTGGGCCACGGTGGGGGCGGGTCTAGACCAGACAGGCGCCAGTGGCTGCTCCCAGAATAAGGGCGCCAGGTACCCAAGGGCATATCTAGACCAAAGCCGGGTTCCAGCCGTGCATAAAGGATGGCTTGTGAGGCTGAGCTAGAAGACTGGGGGAGGGGAATGCTGAACGAGTGTGCCAAGAAGTTAGCGCTTAGTGCAAGAGGGAGAAACATTCTGAGGGCTGTTCTCCATTTTGAAATGTGGGGGATGAAAGCCAGGCTTCATGTGTTATGTAGGTCCCCCACCACTGAGTCCCTCCTGGAGCGGTGGTGGTGGGTGGGTGGTCTGTGGGTGAAGCCTGATCTAAGGGTTTTATTTGAGACAAGGTATCACTATGTAGTCTTGGCAGGCCTCAGACTCACTATGTAGCTCAGTCTGGCCTCAAACTCCCAGAGATTTTTGCCTGCCTGGAGTTGTTTAAGGGTTTGTTTTTTTGTTTTTTACATTAAAAAGTAAAACAAAACAAAACAACAACTTGTCCAGAGAGTGGTGTCACATGCCTTTAATCCTGGGAGTTTGAGGCAAGCCTGGTCTACAGGGTTAGTTCAAGGACTGCCAAGGCTACACAGGTAAACCCTGTCTTGCAATGACAAACAAAGCCGACAAAGATTTATTTTTATTCCTCTAAACTATGCATATGTGTGTTGACATGTAAAGGCCATTCACTTCTGAGCTAGAGTTATAGGTGGTTGTGGGTGCTGGGAATTAAGTTTGGCACCTCTGTAAAATCAGGACACATTCCTACCGGCTGGGCTTAGCCAGCCCTAAGATTTTTGTTATGTTTTTCTTCCAGTAGAGGGTTTCTCTGTGTAGCCCTGGCTGCTGTGGAACTCCCTATGTAGACCAGGCTGGCCTCTAGAGATTCACCAGGCTCAGGTTGTGGTTTTGTTTTTTAAGGAAGGGGTTTTATGTAGTCCAGCCTCCTAATTTGCTATGTAAAGGAGAATGCCTTTGAACGGACCCTCTTACATCATTTCCCAAATGCTGGGCCACAGGTATGTGCTATCATATTTGCTTGATTTTGTAGTTTGAGACAGGGTCTCAACTCAAACTCATCAGACTTTCGTGGCGAATGTGCCTTTTGGTCTGGTCTTCAACTCCAGATCCTCCTGCCTCAGCCTTCTAAGCAGGGGTTATAGGTATACCACAGAGTCGGCCATCTCCATTTGAAGAGGTGGCCCATGAAGGGATGGTGGCCCATGATGGAGTTTTGGGCCTTGAAGAGAAAGAGGGCTGATGTCCTTCTATATGCTCTGAATATGTGTTTCTCTTATTGGTTGATGAATAAAGCTGTTTTGGCCAATGGACAGGCAGAAGGTAGCCAGGCAGGAAGTGTAGAAGGGGCTACAGGACTAGGAGAAGGCTGGAAAGAGGAAGGAACCCAGTGAGTCTCCAGGAGACACAATGTAGCCACCAGGAAGTTAGGATGCCTGGGCATTCTTCTGTAAGCCAAGACCATGTGGAGACACATAGATTAATAGAAATGTGTTAATAATTAAGAGAGAGCTAGCCAATAAGAAGCCTGAGCCATTGGCCAAACAGTTTATAATTCATACGAGCCTCTGTGTGTTTATTTGGGACTAAAGGGCTGCAGGACCAGGTGGAACAGTGTGGCAGTGAATGCCTGTGATCCCAGCATTGGGAGGTACCCACAGGAAGACTTCAAGTTTAAGGTCATCTTTAGCCTTGTAAGAAGTTGAGGCCAGTCTGGGCCACACAAGGCTACAAAACAAACAAACAAACACCCCCCCCAAAAAAACCCCAACAACAACTTAAAAAAAAAAACCCAAAAAACCCCAAACAAAAAAGTAGAGGAGTCAGACAGAGACGAGTGTGAGTGGAGAAGAGAGTGAGTGTCTTCTGTTGCTCCCCACTCCCCATTCTATCTTTGAGATGTGGAAAAGGAGGCCAGCTGTGTGTGTACTGGGGGTTGGATGACAGCAGAGAGATGGACAGTCAACAGGGGAATGCTAACTTTGTAGTTTTTAGTATTTTTCCAGGAGAAAGCTGATCCAGATGTCTAGGACAAGGCCTTTCTCCCAGCTGGGACGCACAGCCCTGGCAGAAACATCTAGGCTGGTCTGTCGTATGTGCAGGCAGAGGGCTGATTCTGACTGCAGCATTAGAGCCAGGTCCTGGAGGCATCATGTCCTCTTCTTTCCAGTGACCACCATGTAATGTTCAGGCAAGAACATGAAAGGAACACAGGAAGAGAAAGGATGCCTGTGTGTGCATGTGGTATGTGTATTGTGTGTGTGTGTGTGTGCATGCACATGTGTATGTCTGTGCGTATGATTCAAAGCTCTTGAAGAGGCAGATGGTCAAGAATGCCAGTATAATCAGCATTTACTATTGTGAAAATAAAGACAATATGGTATCATTCTTTCTAGAGTCTTTTTGTTTTTTTAAAGCAAGTAAAAAAATGTCAGGTAGTGGTGGTGTGTGCCTTTAATTTTAGGGTTGGAAAGATGGCTCAGCTGTTAAGAGCATTTGTTGTGCCAGGCAGTGGTGGTGGTCTACACCTTTAATCCTAGCACTCAGGAGGCAGAGGCAGGTGGATCTCTGAGTTCAAGGGCAGCCTGATCTACATATTGAGTTCCAGGGCCACACAGAGAAACCCTGCCTCAAGAAAACACCCCCCCCCCAAAACCCAAACATATGATTTGATGTAGTGCAAGCTGGCCTTGAATCTTGTAATGTATATGACATGTATGTATTTGTGCGCACGCACATACATTTGAATGTGTGGAACATGTATACAGATATGCTTACACATATGTTTGGAGGCTGGTGGACAACACTGGATGTCTGCTCAATTACTTCGGGATATACATATTTAAATAAATGTAACTTATGAAACACACTTGGTGTGTGTGTGTGTGTGTGTGTGTGTGTTCACGTGACAGCATATATGCAGAGGTCAGAGGGTAATGTGCAGGAATCAGTTTTCTCCTTCCTTCCTGTGGTCCCTGGGATTGAACCCAGGTTGTCAGGCTTGGCAGCAAGAGCCTTTATCCACTTAGCCATCTTGCTAGCCCTTTTCATCTTATTTTTGAAGACAGGGCTCTTCTCTGACCCTAGAGCTCACTAATCCAGTTAGGCTAGCGGGTTAGCAAACTCCAGGGATCCCACCACCCCCTCCCTCACCAAGTCACCTCTCCAGCCCCAAATGGGAACTCCTGATCTTCCTGTTCCCAATTCCTGAGTGCTCCGGTTATAGGTGTACACCACCACATCTAGGGATACAGCGGCAGGATGGCTTTGTGAAGGCTAGGCAAACACTCCATGCCTCCTCCTGTGGCCCCAAATCCTTTGGCAGTAAAGAAAGTAAGTTCTGTCCCCAGACACTTGAGACTCCAGAGTATGTAATCTCGGCACCTGAGCTGGCTGGCGTTTTGCCTCACTCAGTTCCTGGGTGGGTGCCCGGGCCGCACCACCAAAAATGTACACATAACCAGAGGAAAAAAATAAATAAAGTTAACACCTTTTTCTTTTTCTTTCTTTTACTTATTTAAAAAGGCCTTGGCGGCAGGAATATAGTGTAAAAATCATTGGAAAAACTAAAAGGCATCGATACATATCCGAATATACTTTGTACATAAATTACATTTCCTTTAGTCTTTCTGAGTTGAGGTCCTGATTCGGCTCTGAGGTCTAATAATCAAGGGGACCTGGAAGCTGCACGTTTAGTCCGGAATAGTCCACCATGTACACTGGCCACTGCTAGAGAGAGGGGACAGAGGGACCAGGTTAGGACTCCAGATGACAAGAAGGAACCCCCAGAATAACTAGCTTTCTTTGAGGGCAAACTCAAATGTTACTTATGCAGCTATTGACCTCTCCGAGGTCACACAGGTGTGACTGTCCCCCACCTGTGTTCCAGGGGTTCAACACATGGATTAGACACCAGGGAGAGCTGAGTGAGCAGGCGCAGTAAACACCATATGCCCAGCTTCACCTCATAGACTGTCCCACCTCTCCGGGCAAAAGGGGTACTCAATGACAAAAACAAAGGCAGGAGAGAGAAAAAAAAAAAAAAAAAAAAAGCAAACTCTGGGCTTTGCAGAGTACCAGAAAGGGGCTGAAGGATACACAAAGGGTCTAGAAATCCCAAAACCAGTCTTCCTTCCCTTCTTCCCTCCATTCCTTCCTGTTGAGGCAGTCTCATGTAACCCAGGCTAGCCTCTCATGTACTGAGGCTGACCTTGAACTTCTGATCCTCCTGCCTCTACCTCTTCAGTGCTGGGGTTACAGGTGTGTGCCACCACGTCCAGTTTACGTGATGCTGGGAACATAACCCGGGGCTCCTTGCTGACTGAGCCCCACCCCCAGCCCTGTTTAGCAGTTTCCTTTGAGACAGACTCTCATATAGCCCAAGCTGGCCTTGAACTTATGGGACTGCAGGCATATGCCACCACACCCAGTTCTTTACATAGGTTTTCCTCTGAATCAGGCAAGAGCCAAACTGGCTGACAGATGACGGAGGTAGAGTTCTGTCATGTGACCGTCTACCCTCTGGCTCCCGCTGTCCTCATTTACACACATCGCTGGTGACACCCACACTTCAAGCACTGCGCTGATTGCACAGAAACCCTCAGTCTATCTTGTGGGCAAAACAAGCGCATGCGCCTGCACCTCTGAGGTTGGCTGAGTCCCTCTTAGAGCCCAGTGCCTCCCAGTTCCTGGTGCTGCGGGCGGCCCTGCCCGAGGGAGGGGCAAAGGCCACACAGAATTAGGGTGTGGTTCAGGTCTGCGTGACTTTACCACGAGGGAGATCTGGTTGGTGGACGCCACAGACTCTGGGTTAGAGGACGAGGATGAAGAAGAGGAAGAGGAGGAGACCGAGTTGCCTTCCGAGACCCGCTTTCTCTTGCGCTTGGGAATGTCTTTGGCTGGTGGAAGAAACAGTTGCTGAGGCCGGATGCTGGGGGCCCTTCTGTGTCGGCCTCCTGAACTCCCTGGAGAAAGCCCTTGCTTTTAGAATTTTACTGTTTGATCCCCCCCAAACACACACCACCACCACCACAAATGTCCTGGGAATAGAACCCAGGGCTTTGTATGTGACCCATACTCCTAGGTCCTTACTGGGGGATTCTAGGCAGGTGCTGAACCTCTGTGCCGAAGCCACATCCTTCTATAGCATCCTAGGCTCTGTGACGCTCCACCTGCCCAGCAGCTGAGGCTCACCTGTCTACCCTTATTCCCCAAGCAGGTCTAAGGGCCACAGTCCCACTTCTGGCTCCTATTCACCTACCTGCTTTGCTGATTAAAAAAAAAAAAAAAAAAAAAATGCCCTCACCCACCTCTGTAACAGGCTCAATACAGGGCTCCAGCTCGCCCAGATCATTCCATCTTTAGTATGGCTATCACCCCAAGACCTTCAAAACCCCTGAGCTCCTCTTTCCACTTCCTACCAAAGTGTCTGGGTTTGTTGAGACAGGGTCTCGAGGAGCCTAGGCTGGCCTCCAAGTCACTGTGTAGCTGAAGCTGGCCTGACCCCTGATCCTCCTGCCTCCACCTCCCAAGTACCAGGATTAAAGGCGTGTGCCACTATACCTGATTATGTGTTAGGGAAATTATAACCGGACTTTGTGCATACTGTCCTGACCGATCCACACCCAAGCCTATTTTTCTTTTTAGAAACATTTATTTATGTACGTGTATGTGGCACATGAATGGAGGTCAGGGAACAACTTGTAGGAGTTGGCTCGGTTTCTCCATCATGTGGGTTCTAGGGATTTGAACTCAGGTCGTCAGGTTTAGCGGCAAGCACCTTTATCCACCAAACCATCCCAAGGCCTGTGCCTACTTATGTTTTTTGTTTGTTTGTTTTTGAAGGCAACAGACTGGTCCCCACAAGGCAGAAGGCTGGCCTCTCCTGCCTCTGACTCACCTGGCACCTTGGCATCATTGCAGACTTCTGCAAAAGGTCTGAAAAAGAGAAGAAAGGCCACAGTTAGGTGGTTTCCTCTCCTTACCCGCTCCCTGGGACATGGACACTTACCCTCCACAGCTGAGATGCAGCTGTTGTGGCTACAGCCAGGTCAGCTCATACTATAGTTTTACACCCTAAGTGTTGCCCAAAGGTGCATGTGTTAAGTGTATGGTTGGCAACCTGGTACATTGGCCCTTTAAGAGGTGGAGCCTAGTGGGAGGGACAGGTCATTGTGGTCATGTCCCCAGGGGATCCTCATACCATTGCTTCCTCCTCTCTTTCTCTCCCTGCTCCCTGGCTCTCATGAGGTGAGCAGCACCTTCCACCATGCATATGCTCCAACCAAAAACAGGCTCAAGTGTTCAGAGGATAAAACCCCTCAAACTCTTCCTTTCGAGACAGAGCCTCACTATGTAGCCCAGGCTGGTCCATCCTCTTCCTTCTTCCTCTCTTCTACTGGGATTATAGGAATAAATAGCACACCATTGTCCCTCAAACATTGTTTTCTCTTTTTGTTTAAATTTTTTTTATTACATTTATTGATTTCGAGTATATTTGTACCCAAGTGTGTTCAGTAGAGGTCAGAGGACAACTTGTGGGAGTCAGTCCACTCCTTTTATGATGGGAGTCCCAGGAAACCTTACTTAGGTCGTCAGGCTTGGTGGCAAGCACCTTTACCTGCCGAGCCACCTCGCCGGGACCACTGTGTGCACGTGCATGCGGGGCGTACATGCGTGTATGTGTGATATAGTATGCACGCATGTGAAGGGCACAGGTTAATGTTGGGTATCTTTTTCAGTTACCTTCCATGCTATTTTTATTCTACAGAACCATTTATTTATTTATGTACACGTGTACATACAGGTGTGCAAGCCTGTGTGCACAGGAGCAAGCCAGAGGAGAGGGCACTTGGGTGTCTTTCTTTACCATCTCCAGCTATTCCTCTGAGGCACAGTCTCTCTTTGAAGCTGGCACTAGCGTTTTCTCAGCAAACTCCATTCTCTTTTGACCTTGCTCGTGGGGCCACAGGCATGCACAAGTAGCCACACCTGTTATGTGGGCACTGGAACCCAAGCTCCAGCTCTCATGATTTATGCAACCAATATTTTTTTTACCTGTTGACCTTTAACCCCTCATATTCTAGTCTCCATGTTATATTTTTATATCTTTCATTGACCCTGAAGCTCACTGATTTGGCTAGCCTGAATGGCTAGTGTACCCCAGGAATCCTCTTGCTTTTTGTCTGCAGTGGGGGATTACAGGTGCACATCGTGGGTTCTGGGGATCTGGACTCAGGTTTCATGCTTGTATGACCAGCACTTTGTACCAACTGCATCATCTCCACAGCGCCTACCCCACACTTTGTATGAGTTTCTGTGAGCATGTGTGTATGTGTATCATGTCTGTGCACAGTGCCTGAGGAAGTCAGAGGAAGGCATCGGATCCCCTGGAAATAGAGTTAGGGATGGTTGTGAGCTACCATGTGGATGCTGAGAATCAACCCTGGGTCCTCTGAGAGAGCAACCACTGTTCTGAACGTCACAAGTACAGAGAGGATATTTAAGAAATTATGAATTGTGGGCTGGGCAGAGTGGCTCATGCCTGTAATTCCAGCACTTAGGAGGTGAAGGTAGGAATACTAGGAGTTCAAGGTTAGCCTCAACTACACAGTGTGTTCCAGGCCTGGGCTAAATGAACCTCTGTCTCAAAACAGACAAAAATTGGACTTGATTTTGTTTTCTGACTCAGGATTCTCTGGCTGAGCCTGCTGATCTTGTCCTGGTCCAGGGCTGTACCTTCTTCTCTCCCACACCCCTTGCTCTACTGTCTAACACATAGCACTCACTGGAGCTGGTTGATGATAACCATCCGTACATTCTCTCTGGCCTTCAGGATCTTCTCCAGCCTATGGATGTCATAGGTGTTGGGGTTCCGGAAGGGGATGTCATCCGGGAGGCCTTTTACCTCCACAGCATCCGGGCTGTCCCGGATCAGTTTGTAAGGGACCAACACAGGCCGATTCAGTCCCAGGGCCTCACCTAGAGAGCACAACCAGAGAAAGATGCCCCCATGTCAGAAGGTAAAACACTGTAGGGAAGGCATCATGACTGAGAGCCCAACTCGACAGCCATCCCACCCCAGGGACATTATCCATACACGTTATGAGAATTCATATTGATCATCTACAGGTTCTAAAATTACTTAGAAGACATACCTCTGGGCACGTCTGTGTGTGAGGAAGTTTCTAGATTGGGTTAACTAACGTGGGAAGTCCCACTCTAAATGTGGGAGACTGGGATTCCAGAACTGAATTAAAATGGACAAAGTGAGCTGGGCACCTGGATTCATCTCTCTTTTTCCCCAACTGCAGACAAGACCAATTGCCTCACACCATTGTCCTATGGACTAGGTTTAATCTGTGACCCAAAAGAAACCCTTCCTTAAGTTGGGTATTTTGTCACAGTAACTAACACATATTCTATCAGTCACTGTGGGTGTGCAAGCTGCCCCGTAGCCCCACCCCGGCCATCTGCAGGCACTGACCGTATTTCTCATTGAAGAGCTCCTTCACCTGCTCTCGGAGGATCACCTTCTCGCCGAGCCTGTTGGCATCATCCTCATCTGTGGGGAGACAATCGGACTACAGGACTGGCACACGCTTCTCCCATGTGCTGTGACCGTGGCCTGCTGGGCAGTCTCTCTAGATACCACCTTCTCCACTGCTCTGGTCTCATAAGTATATCCATCCACTCACCTCCCATCATTCCATCCACACACCCACCCACTCACCTCCCATCCATCCATCCATCCATCCATCCATCCATCCATCCATCCACATACCCACTCATCCTCCCACCCACTGGAATTTCCCAAGCAGCAACCCCATACAAGCCAGGCATAGAGCAGCTAACAGTGTAGGGGATAGCAGTCACAGCCCCAGAAACGGGAGTGATGGGACACTCAGGGCCGACATATTAGGAAGAGAGAACCGACTCCCACAGTGGTCCTCGGACCTCCACATATTCAGAGGTGCAAGCACCCACACCCACCTACAAGGGCTAACAACAACAATGTGCTATGAATAACCCTTCTGTATACTATATGAACATACGTCACCATGATTGGTTTAATAAACAAGCTGACCCACGCTCCACCCTTATTGTCTAATGAAGCTCAAAGACCACTAATGTGGCTGGTAGCCACGCCAGGCTGATGTAAAAACCAACTCAAATAAAAGTATTGGCTGTTTTTATTGACATTGGTGGTTTTAGAAGTTAATTTTTGTGTGTTTGCATTTGTGCCTTTATGCCCATGGAACCCTTCCTCATGACTCGCGTCTGCATCTCACATTTGGAACTGGCCAAGTTGGATGGGCTGGACACCAGGGACCTACTTGTCTGCTCCCCATAGCTGGGACTATAAGTGGATGCCACCATACCAGTCCTTTACTCTGTGGGTTTGCTGATTCACTGAATGAGTCAACCCTCTTAGCCCCTCTGCTTCATACATGTACATCAGGGTTTCTGGAATCTTATAGAAAGTTCCGGAACACAGAAGTTCCTTCCCAAACACACAAGGGGTGCAGGACTTGAGATCTTTACCATCTAGGAGCAGAGTGAGTCACAGTGGCTCTGGTTGAGTTTCCACAGGTCCAGACTGTCAGGGTCTCCCAGACCACACCCTGTGGCTCCATGGTTCCTCCAGGAATAAAGGAAGAAGCACAGGGCCTCCCTGCCCCACCCTGGCAGAGGTCAGCGCCTCCCAGGAAGACAGTAACGCAGTCGTTACTGCAGCCGTATTAATAGAGAGTAGCCTCGATAATGACACGGAGGAAGCGTGGCTGGCACTGGAATTGTGGCATCATTGGATACTGAGAAAGGACAGTATTATTTTAGCTCTCAAGACCGAGATAGAGCTGGAAGGGTAGGAAGGGGGCTAGAGAGGAATGGAGCCAGGAAACTATGCCCCAGCCTCGGGGAATGGAATGCAGAAGTCTGGGCAGAGGGGGCTCTGAAGAAATGACAGTGAGCCAACCTACCGGGAATTGTAGATTGTAAGGGGGCTTATCCAACACCACAGAGAGTAAGTTAGTTAACTTATCCAACATCACAGAGTAAGTTAACTCATCTAGGATCACACACAGCGAGCTAACTTATCCAAGATTACAGAGTAAACTAACTCATCTAGGATCACAGGCCATAAGTTAACATTATCTAATGTCCCAGCACAGTAATGGCGAACAAAGTCCCTAAAAGGGCAAAAGGGACTGCCCCCCCCTTGCTCCCTGCTTGTCAACACCAACCCCAGACTAGTCCCCAGGCCTATCTCAGGTCCCCTTCTCCCTGACACTCTGCTTAGTTTTAAGGTGACAGTAGATTGCACTGAGAAGGGCTTAGCAACATCAACAGGGCCTGTTACCTCCTGTGTGTGGCAAGCCTCTTCCTGTCAGCTGAACCTCTCAAACTGGGCCTCAGATGAAGCTGGAGAAATGGTCTGTCTGTCTACTTTCCTCAGTGACACACCCATGTTAGAAAAGATTAACCAATAAACTCGCTTAGGGAATAGTAAGTGGGTCGAGCTGGTCGTGGCACTTGGGAGGCAGAGGCAGGTGGATCTCTGAGGGATCTCTGTGGATCTCACAGTCTCTAGGCCAGACTATGGAAGGAGGGATGGGAGGGTGGGGGTGGGATCCTGGCCGGAAAGTAACTTAGAGATGAGAGAGAGCCTAAGAATCGAGGTGATAGCTCAAACCTACATAAAGCCACAAGAGATTTCTGTTCTGGGCTGGTTTCTCTTTGGGAGGACGCTATTATTAGTTTAAATTTTTTCCCTCCTCTTATTCTCTGAGTGGTTGGAATAAATTCTCACGGGGGTGGGGTGGGGCTTAATCTGACATGCAATTTCTGGAAACTGAACCTGAACTGGGAAGTCTAGTGTGGGGTGTCCCAGATTAAACTGGGACTGCTGAGAATTTGGATCCAGCTCTCTGGGGCGCTCAGGTTTCTGGGCAGCAGGGATCCAGCACACAAAAGCTCACCAGGCCTAACCCAGGCTGCAGACCCAGCCCCTTCTGAGCCTCTGAGACAGCCTTGGCTTTGGGCTTCAGGGTAGAGAGAAGACAACCCTTCCTAGTTTTTTGGCTTTTTGCTTTGTTTCCCAAGACAGGGTTTCTCTCTGTAGCCCTGGCTGTCCTGGAACTGGATCTGTAGACCAGGCTGGGAACTCAGAGAGATCTGCCTGCCTCTGCCTCCCGAGTGCTGGGATCATAGTCCTGCACCACCACGGGCCTGCCAATCCTTGCTGTTTTATAGATAAGGACACTGGTTTGCTGGAGTCACACAGGAAGTGGGCAGCTCTGCTTTGCCTGTGGGGACCCCAGTGCGCCTGGGGTCAGAAGAAACAACAATGACGATGTACATATGCGTGTGCACATGCATGTGCACCAAGTGTCTGTGGGTATCTGTGGTGGCTAGGGCACTGGACCCTCTGGCTCTGGAGTTACAGGCAACCGTGAGCCGCCCAATGTAACTGCTAAGACGTGACCTCGGGTTGGGCCTTCTGGAAAAGCAGCAAACCCTCTTAACTTCTGAGTCATATCTCAAGTCCTTATTCACTTTTAAGGCAAGGTTTCTTATAGCCCAGGCTAGCCTCAAACTTCCTATGTAACGGAAACTGGCCTTGAACTCCTCCCAGGTGGGGGGATGACAGGTATCTATCATGACACCCTACAGAGGAAGTGACAGGCTGTTTGGAAGCAAAGGGAAGTAGGGCCTGTCAGGTACTGTGACACGGGAACAGCTCTCGCCATCCTCCTGTGCAGCAAACCCTGGAGGGAATATTCTCTCTGGTAAGTGACTGACTACCTAACCGCAGCTTGAAAGCCTCTAGTGACAGGGAGTTCACTACGTCCAAAGCCCCCACCCCCGATAGATCTGAAGAATTAGGCTTTTAGGCAAGCGTCACCTTCATCTTCCAGCTTTTCCACCACCTTCCTCACCCGTCACCCCATCCCCTTCTAGATCTTAATTCATCTCCCTCTGGGCCCATCACCTGGGCTCAGGCCTCTGTAGACCTTCCTAGCCCTCAGCTCCAGCTTTACCTTCTGCAGTATACCTGCCCCAGGTGGAAGCTGGCACCATGGCAACAACAACAACAACAAAAAAAAACAATGCAAAGCTACATCATTTGAGAAACAAAACTTTGATGCCTGAAAATAAAACCCAAATCACACACAAATTACAGGCATGGACCTGTAATCCTAGCTACTTGGAAGGAAGAAGAGGAGGAGGATTACAAATCCAAGGCTAGCCTGGACTACGTAATGAGACACTGTCAAAGACAGGCAGGCAGACAGCTGGCTAGGGATGGAACTCTATTGGCAGAGTGCTTGCCAACGTGCATGAAACCCTTGGCTGCATCTCCAGTACTGTACGAAAAAACAGCATTGGAGCATTTTGGAAGTATCGTGGAAGCTGGATCATCCTTGCTGTCCAGCAAGTTCAAGGCCAGCCTGGGATAGCTGGGACACTCTGTTTCAAACAACAAAACAAACCTCCGAGTGGGAAGGCTGAGTTCACAGCTGTCTCCTTACCCCAACCTGGAAAATGTTAGCTCCCCAGGCTACACCCTAACCTGAACATGTGAGTGGCTCGCCACTGGAGAGAAAGGCTCCACCAGAACATGGCCACTGTGTGGACTTGTGGAAACCAATGTGTGGCCATTTGGAGGACTTCAACTGTGCACACTGTTCACATGCATGTTTAGGTGCATCTTCCTCTTTCTGTTCACATGCATTTTAGGCCCATCTTCCTCTTTCTGTTCACATGCGTGTATAGGCCCATCTTCTTTTCTTCTACGATGCTCATTAACCTTGGTGACCCTCACTGTTCCAGTGAGTCCTCTGGGATTATACCCCAACAGTGCTTCCCCATAGGGACCGCTAGCTGCTCCCCAGCTGGGGGACCATTCTCTACACAGAAGGGACAGCATTTGCTCCCAGCACCTTTCCTTGCTTGACAAAAACTAAACTCATATAAGATAATGCTTCCTTCCGTCAGATTGTCTTTAAGCAAGTCTGCAGTATATTTCCTTAATTAGTGATTGATGCTGGAGGACCCAGACCCATTGTGGGTGGGACCACCCCTGGGCATGGTGTGGGGTGTATAAGAAAGCAAGGCGAGCAAGCCATGGGGAGCAAGCCAGTGAGCAGCGTCCCTCCATGGTCTCTGCATCAGCTCCTGCCTCCAGCTTCCTGCGATGACTTCCCTCGGAGACACTGTGAGATATAAGCCGAAATAAACCCTTTCTTCCCTACCCTAAGGTGTTCTTGATCACGGTGTTTATCACAACAACAAAAGCCTTCAGACAAGGGTGGACCAGCCTGCCGGAGTGGTGAACCTCTGTAATCCCAGCACTATGATGTGGAGGCAGGAGTCCTAGGTTTAAGACAATTCTCAGCTAAACGTCAAGTTCCAGGTTGGCCTGGTCTATATGAGACACTGCCTCAAAACACAAACTGGCATGGGGGGGGGGGCAGGGCTAGAGAGCTGGCTCAGCAGCTGACGGTGATGCTGCTCTTGCAAAGGACCAGGGTTTGGTTCCCAGCACCTACACAGTGGTTCACAACTATCTACAGCTCCAGTTCCCTGTCCTGCACAGACACTGGGCATACACACGGTGCAGGGAAAACAGCTAAACACATAAAATAAATAAAATAACAGCAGCAGCAACATCCAAGAAACGAAACGTCAGGGCTGGGGAGATAGCTCAGTGGGTAAGTGCTTAACTTGGAAACATTAAAAAAAAAAAAAGCAGGATCTGGGGCCAGCCATACAACTCAGTAGGTAGACACTTGCCTCTAAGGCCTGAGTATGTATACATACACACTGTACATACATACACACTATACACACTCTATATAAACACACTAAACACACACTACATACATACACACCTTATACATACGACACACATATACACTCAAAATCCTAAAACCAAACCAAAAAACAAACCCCAACAAGTAAACCAGTTTTAAACTGGGAGTTTTAAAAGATTGTTGATGCCGCACGCCTTTGATTCCAGCACTCAGGAGGCAGAGGCAGGCAGATCTCTATGAGTTCGAGGCCAGCCTGGTCTACAGATCGAGTTCCAGGACAGGCTCCAAAGCTACACAGAGAAACCCTGTCTGGGAAAAAAAAAAAAAAAAAAAAAAAAAACGGGGGGGGGGGATTGTTGACAGAACCCATGTTATTGCACAGAGTGGCCATGAGGGGGCGACAAAAAGACACTCAACAGGTTCAGAGATTTATTAGAACAGTGGATGAGGGTAGAGGGCAAGTTCAACCCCGGATCCTGCAAAAAGTGGGTTAAGTCAGGCTCTGGAAATGCTCTGTGACTTTGAGAAAATTTCTTAACCTCTCTTGAGTCTGTTTCCTTCTGTGAGAAGTTAACAGCCCCTGAGTGGTGGCACACAGCTATGATCTGAACATTCTGCATGTAGGCTGAGGCAGGAGGATCACAAGTTTGAGGACAGTCTAGGATACATATCAAGACTCTGTCCCCCAAACAAGCAGGGTATGGAGGGCAGAGGGAGATGGGGGAGGAGCTACTGTGGGTTGGCTGGCAGATATGCTCAATGCGTTTCTATGGGGACAGGAGCAGCACCATTCAGAGACAACAGGCAGTCACTTGTGTCAGGGCTGACCATTGGCTAGGGTCTGACAAGCTATCAGCCTGGAGCCAAGAGGCCTGCATTCACAAATGAACTCGGGAGTCGGGGTGGGAGGTGGTGTGAGGGTGGGAGCTTGCTATAGGACCAGGCAGAATGGGGCTGGGCCAGCATCAGATCCAAGGAAGGGGCTTTCTGGGTCTTTCATTGGTGGGCAGGCAGCCCTCTGTGTTCACAAGTCCCCAGCTCTCTTCCTAAGGAAGTACTCATTTCCCTCTTGGGCTGACTGCCAGCTCTGGCTCAGCCTCTGGCCACACCCAGGGCTGTTTCCATCATGGGCACATGATCTACAGTCTACCCAGTGCACTGCTGCAGAGGGTGTAGACAGGGTCAGAGGCTTTTTTGTTTTGTGGTAAAGTACACATAATCCTAGCAGGCTTGACTTACCCTTGGCCCAGCCCATCACTGGGGGATTCTAGGCAGGTGTTCTCCCACTGAGCCACACCCCAGTCCACTAGGAAATCCATGGGCATGCCTTTCTTTTTGTTTGCTTTTTTTTTTTTTTTTTTTTTTTTTTTGAGACAGGGTCTCTCTGTGTAGTCCTGGCTCTGTAGAGTGGGCAAACCTCAAACTCAGAGATCCACCTGCACCTGCCTCTGCCTCCTGGCTGCTGGGGTTAAAGGTTGCACCACTATGCTCAGCCTTTTTCGTTTGAGCTAGTCTCTCACTGGCCTGGAGCTTCCTCAATAGACCAGGCAGACTGGTCAGCGAGCCTCAGCAATTTGCCCTTCTCCACCTCCCTGGCATGGGGATTACAAGTGTGTGCTACTATAAGCAGCATTTGTGGGTCCCTGGGATCAAACTCAGGTCCTCGCGTTTGCACAGCCACTATTTTATAGACTATGTTATCGTCCCAGCTCCCCCACCCCTCACATCAATCCCCCTGCATCCTGTGGACCACACTCATACATTTGCTACCGATTTCCTCCATACACTGGGCTAGCCAGGCCCATTAGATTAGAGGTCACGGGGACTCTGACGCAGCTGCAATCCTGACTGCAGCTCCCATGGTATCTTTCTGCCCTAGGACCGGGGCACCAGCAGGCTTTCTCCACCTGTTGTCTGCCCACAGTGGGGCAGACAAACAGGGAATTGTGGGAAGAGCAGCTCGGTACCCCAGGTCCCACTCCTTGAGCCAGGCAGTTGTGCCCATGGTGGACTTGGTTTGGAGCCCCCCGAACTGTGCAAAACCCCAACACCAAGTGCCTCCCAAACACACAAAATACAACTTACCAGGCTTTGGGATGAGTCCTTGGAATGGCCTGGAAGGGAAACAGAAGCGAGGTTTTAGGGAAAAGTCACAGGCAACAAGACTACCACCAGGTACTCGATGACACTAGCTTGCCAAGGAATTAGTAACACATCCCAGGGCCCACCCACACATTAGCATTTACTGCCTGATTCTTTCAGAGAGGATCTCTTGTAGTCCAGGCTAGCCTTGAACTCCCATTGTTGTAGTCAAGGATAACCTGGAACTTTTTTACCTGTGTGTGTGTGTGTGCATGCCAGAGGGTAACTTCAAGTGTCTCCTTTAATAATTCTACATCCTTTTTTTTTTTAAAGCGAAGGTTTCCCACCTGGCTAGACTGGCTAGCAAGCAGGCCTCTGGAACCTTCTCATCTCTCTTCCTAATCAGCCAGTGCTGGGGTTACAGGTGCATGGCAGTCTGCCCACATTTTTACATGGATGCTAAGGATCCAAACCTGGTCCTGGAGCTTGCTCAGTAAACACTTCCCCACTAAACAAGCTCCCAAGCTCAGGATCCACATTTCAATAAGATGCCCAGGCCAGGTGTGTACATGGAATTTTTGCTTTCTCAGGGGGCTGGGTATGCCCACAGGCCTGCTGAGGGGCACAGTTAGAAGGGTGGTCAGTCACTGTGTGGAAACTCCTGATCCCTGTCAGGCCTGCAGTTCCGCTCTAATACCCTGTGGTGGTTTGAAAGAAAATGGCCCCTGTAATCTCATAGGGAGTGGCACTGTTAGGAGGTGTGGCCTTGTTGGAGTAGGTGTGGCCTGATCGGAGGAAATGTCACTGTGGAGGCAGGCCTTGAGATCTTTTGCTTAAGCTTCCCTTGACATTTCGGTTGACTTCCTGTTGCCTGCAAGATGAAGGACTCTTAGGCTCCTCTCTAGAACCTGCATGCTGCCATGCTCCCCTCCATGATGATAATGGACCGAACCCCTGAAACTGTAAATGGGCCACCCCAATTAAATGTCTTCTTCGTAAGAGTTGCCGTGGTCATGGTGTCTCTTCACAGCAATAGTAACCTTAACCAAGCCCGCTCCCCTATTGCGGGAATTTCTGGAGCGGGCTCCCAGTCCCAGCCAGTGCAGTCTCAACTCTTGCCCTTGCTCATCAAGTACCTGGTGACTGTGAACTTGATCTTGTCGGCCACAGCGAGGATCCGTTCCAGGTTCTGGGAGCCAAAGGTGCAGGGTTTGCGGAATGGGATCCCAGGAGGCAGGCCCTCGATGAGGACCGAACCGGGGTTGCTCTTGATTCGCTTGTAGGGCACCTGCACTGGGTATTTGATGCCCAAGGCTTCACCTGGATACGGAAGGACAGTTGTGCCAGGTAAGGGAAAGCAGCGGAACAGGGTGTGCAGCGTAAGTATGGGAGTGTCTCCTCCAGGAAACACAGGGCCCTTTGTGGAAGACTGTAGAACAGTGGTTCTCAACCTTCCTAAAGCCACGACTCTTTAATATAATTCCTCTTGTTGTGGTGACCCCCAATCATAAATCACTTCATTGCTACTTGTGGTGGATTGAAAGGCAATGACCCCCAAAGGTTAGGAGGTGTGGCCTTGTTGGAGGAAGTGTGTCACCAAGGGGGCGGGCTTTGAGGTCTTTTTCTCAAGCTTCCCTGAGTAGGACAGTCAGTCGACTTCCTGTTGCCTCTGAGTCGAGATGTAGGACTCTCAGCCCCAGCACCAAATCTTCCTATATGCTGCCATGCTCCCCTTCCTGATCATAATGCACTGAACGTCTGAAACTGTAAGTGAGCCACCTCAAATGTTTCCTTTGTAAGAGCTGCTGTGGTCATGGCGTGTCTTCGCAGCAACAGTAAACTGAAACACGACTTCATAACTGTTAATTTTGCTACTGTTATGAATATCAATACAAATGTCTGATATGGGACAACCCCCCCCCCCACAGGTTGAGGACCACTGCTGGAAAAGGTGTACATGAATAGAACTAGAGATTAGTATGTATACTGTGCAGGTAGTTTCTGGTGTAAATCTATGCTGGGTGGGCTTTGAGTACAGAGCAGGAATGTGTGGTTCCAGGTGCTGGCCAGGGCGGCGATTAATATTTCTCAGACTCGGGGTTGGAGAGATGGCTTAGGGGTTAAGAGCAGTGACTGCTCTTCCAGAGGTCCTGAGTTCAATTCCCAGCAACCACATGGTGGCTCACAACCTGCAATGAGTTCTGGTGCCCTCTTCTGGCCTGCAGTCTCTGTATACATAATAAAAAAATAAATCTTTAAAAATAAAATGAAAAAATATATATAAAAAAATATTTCTCAGACTAGCCGATACTGCACACCTGCCTCTAGGATGGGAACCCCGAAACATCCGCTTTTCTCCAGACTGTGGTACTCCGATTCAGAGTCAGGACCCACACAGAACGAATGGGCATGCTCTACCCAGCAGCAAGGAAAACAGACAAAGCTAGACACTAGGGACTATTGTCTACCTGGCCTCCGGACCCTTCCCTTCTTTCTCTCCCTTAATTTCTTTTGAGACAGAATCTTATTATGTAGTCTTGGCTGGCTCGGGACTCCCTAGGTAGACCAGGCAGGCCTCGGAGATCCACCAGCCTCTGCCTTCCAAGTGCTAGGATTAAAGACGAGTGCCACCACCTCCTGGGCCCTTCTCGTTATAAGAAGTCTTTTCTTTTTAGTTTCCCAAGAGAGGGTTTCTCCATATCTAACATCTCTTTTTAAAGTTTTTGTTTGTTTGGTCTTCTTGTTCTTTTGAGAAGAGTCTCCTGTAACTCAAGACTGACTTTCCAACATGCTACATAGCTAAGGATGACCTCAAACTTCTGATCCTCCTGCCTCTGCCTCCCGAATCCGAATGCTGGGGTGACAGGTATGCCACCATCACACCAGATCATGTGGTGCCATGGCCGGAACCCAGGGCTTCACACATGCCCAGCAAGTCATCTACCAACTCAGACACGCCCCAGTCCCTATTAAAAGAGGAGCTTTGAATCACATTTTATTTGTGTGTGTATATGGATGAGCACATGTGTGCACATATCCATGGTTCTCTCCTGTCCTTATGTGGGTTCCGGGAAATCAAACTCTGGTCGTCAGGCTTGGCAGCCGACTGCCCTGTAAGCCAGCTTACCAGCGAGCACTCACATACTCTCTGTCTCTAACAAAAACTGTATTGTGTAGTCCCTGCTGGCATGCAATTTACAGCAGCCCTTCTGCTGCAACTTCCCAAGTGATGAGGTCGCAGGTGTGCATCACCAACACATCTTACACTGTGTCCCCAGTGCTTGGCATGTAGTAGACACTCAAGAAATAGGTAAGAGCTGGTGTGCACGGGTAGCTGCCACCAAACCTGGCAGATTAAGTTTGATTTCCAGAAACCCACATGGTAGAACAAAACAGCCAACTACCGAGAGTCTGATTGCCATGTTTGTGCTGGGGTATGTGTGCGCAACCACATACATAGCCATATACACAATAAATAAACAAATTTATTGTTTAAGAAAAAAGGAGAGAGAAATAATACCTACACTATAGACCAATCCCTTTGCCAAATGTGAAGGTGGCCACAGGCAGGAAGCTGCCCACTTCTCCCTCTACCTGACCCCTGCCCGTAACTCACCGTATTTCTTGTTAAACAGGTCTTGGACTTGCTCCCTAAGTGTGTTGGCGATGTCAATCCGCGAGAGTCTGGTGTCGTAATTTTCTGCAAAGTGAGTACAATTACGGACAGAGGCTGTTACATTAAAAGGCACTTGGTGACTTTTACAGGAAAACGATTTCCTAATTACAGCCAACTCCTTCTCTGGCAATTAGCAGATCTTTGGAGTGGGCTCCTCAGAGTCCTTCAAAACCAATCTCCACGAGACTCAGTGTGTGCATTTTGTTTTGTTGTTTTTCCGGGAAGGACTCACACTGTTTCCACAACAGCAATGAGATGAAATTAAGTTAATTGTTGACATTTGAAAGCCAACAAACTAATAAATAAGCCTACAAGTGAGACACTAGGGAGCGGGGGTTTCTGTGTCCTCAGCTGGGCAGGAGCTGGAACAAGGGCTTCAGAAAGCTCAGGGGGAAACAGAGGACTGGAAACGGGAGTGTCCGCCCGGGGGGCTGTTTATTACTTGGTGGTGAGCCCAGAAATACTCTACTATTGAGGCATACTATCAGTCCCTCACTGGAGGATTCTAGGAAAGTGCTCTACTACTGAGCCACACCCCAGCCCCTCACTGGGGGATTCTAGGCAGGTGCTCTACCACTGAGCCACACCCCAGCCCCTCACTGGGGGATCCTAGGCAGGTGCTCTACCACTGAGCCACACCCCAGCCCCTCACTGGGGGATTCTAGGCAGGTGCTCTACCTCTGAGCCACACCCCAGCCCCTCACTGGGGGATCCTAGGCAGGTGCTCTACCACTGAGCCACACCCCAGCCCCTCACTGGGGGATCCTAGGCAGGTGCTCTACCACTGAGCCACACCCCAGCCCCTCACTGGGGGATCCTAGGCAGGTGTTCTACCACTGAGCCATGCCACCAGCTCCTCACAGGGTGGGGAGGTCTCTAGGCAAAGGCCACCATTCTGAGGTAGTGTTAAGAACCTCCATGTACCAGCACATCAGGACTGCACCTTTGACCTCAGGGAGGGTACACCCTGTCCTGGCTTTAGGAGAGAATGGGTATGGATAGCAGTGGGAGAAGGAAATGACCTCTGTTGTGTCAAATGCAGTTCTGGTGACATTCTCAGTCCGCTAAGGGCTTGGACATAGGGATCTACATAGGGTGAGGTAAAAAAACACAAATTGCCCTCACTGCTCCAGCTGCCTGGGAGAACATTGAGGCGCTGAGGTGACCAGCAGCTGGTCCTCTGTGAGGGCTCCTAACGCCAGCGCTGGCTACTGCTGCCTTTCTGAACTCCTCAGAGATACAGTGACCATGAAGGGGCCACCTGGTGACAGTCACCCTGGGACTCACACCAGCCATGCCCATTAGTCTTCTAAGCTGTGCACGCATAGGATGGGGTAGATTTTCAGCTGCATCCTGATAGCAGGGATGCTGGCTGGCCTCACACTGGAGGGGTCTCCCCTCGGTCCAGCTGCAAGCCCTCCTTTGACAGTTCCCTATATCTTGCTGCTTGTCTTTCTACCTGCTTTCCTGGCTCTCCATAGCCACCATTCACTCCTTCAATTTCAAAGCAGCAAGAGCTGGGTTGATGAATGACTACAGAAAGGCAGGCGGCTACTACCTAGATAGAGAAGCTAGCTCTGGTGTGATGTGCTTACGTGTCCCCCTACTGACAGCCAGACTCTAACTCAGGCACACCAGGCCAGTCTAGTACCCCAGAGCCCACGGGTGGGGGCCAGCCTCTTCCCACTTCCACTGTGACTCCCACTCTAAAGCCACTCGAGGTCACAACCCTGGAGTGCCTAAATTTACACAGGTCTAAACTTACCTTGAAGGCCCTGTCTCTTCGGGGTCTCATCCACAAGACGGTCCCAGGAGTCCCTCTCTGGGGGTGGGGTGGGGAGAGAAGGCAGGTGAGGAGGGAGCACCTGGGGTCTCAGGTGGCATCGAGGGGGCAAACCCGACAGGGGCAGTGGGGAAATGCCTAGGGTAGGGGATAGGACAGGGGCATCAGGAGGGGCAATGGCAGAGATGTGGTGCCCTCCCACACCCACCTGTGCCCATGCCCAGGTACCTTGAGTATCCACAACAGGTTCTTTGACACCATCAGTGAGCAGTTCGGGTCTAGAAGACATAGCCAGTGCCATCAATGAGGTTTGTCCAACCCTCTTAGGGTTGTTCAGTCTACAGATCTGTGCAATGGGCTTTCCTAGCCACATAGCTGGAAGGTCCTTGCCACACGGGGGCAACAATCATCCTGGTTGACGGGAGCTGTCAACAGCTCTGAGCTCTGAGGTTCCTCCCAAGTCCTGGGCTGGCTGATGCCCAGGACTTGACACCATCCAATCCCTACTACCTGGCATTTGAAACACACAGCCTCCATGTTGAGGGTGAATGACTGCCAGGGAAAGGATATGTGTGTTTGTATACGTAGAGGCCAGGGGGCAACAACTGCTATCTTCCTTTATTGTTCTCTACTGTGCATGCGTGAGTGCGTGCGTGCGTGTGCATAAAACCATTGAAGCTGGAGTTACATAAGCTGCCCAACCAGGATCCTGGAAACCAGGCTCGAGTCCCCTCAAGACTAGCAAGCCTTCTTAGCCACTATGCCGTCTCCAGCTGCTCCATGTTATGCTTTGAGACAGGGTCTTTCCCTGAATCTGTAGCCCACATATTTGTCCACACTAGCTGGCCAGTAACGCAGGGATCTTCCCACCACTTCTTACTCAGCATCGGGGGGCTACAGGTTCAAAACACCTTGTCTGGTTCTTTTTTTTTTTGTGGGGGGTACAACTTGGGTCCTGGGGATTGAACGCGGGTCCTCTAGTTTTCACAGTATACACTTCACTGCCAGAGGCACCTCTAAAGAGTTTCTCTTCTCTTGTTTTTATTGAGATGAAGTACTGGGATACAGTCCAAAATCTACATCAGTGGTTCTCACCCTGTGGATGGAGACCCCCTTGAGAGTGTGTGTGTGTGTGACTGAGTAAAACTACTCTTTCACAGGGGTCACCTAAGACCATTGGAAAACACAAATATTTACATGATGATTCATAACAGTAGTAACATTATGGTTATGAAGTAGCATGTAAATAACTTTATGGTTGGCGGTCACCACAACATGAGGAACTGCACTAAGAGGTCGCAGTGCTAGAAAGGTGGCGAGCCATTGGTTTATATCTTCTTGCCTTGGCCTCCCGAGTGCTGCTATGTAGTTATCACACCCAGTCCTAAATTTACTTTAAAATCAGCGGGGCACGGCGCCTTGCATCTATAAGTCCAGAGCACTTGGGAGACTGAGGCAGGAAGATTACTTGGGTCAGCCTGGGCTATACAGTGAGTTCTAGAGTAGCCTGAGCTAGAAAGTGAGATCCTGGTTAAAAACAAAACAAAGAGACCACAAGCCAGGTGGTAGCAGCACACAACTTTAATCCCAGCATTTGGGAGGCAGAAGCAGGCAGATCTCTGTGAGTTCAAGGCCAGCTTGGTCTACAAAGTGAGTTCCAGGACAGGCTCCAGAGAAATCCTGCTTCAGAAAACCCAAAAAAGAAACCCCACAAACAACAAACTCAAATACACTAAAATAAAAACAATGGCACATGCCTTAATCCCAGAGTTCAGGAGACAGAGGAAGGGAGATTTCTGTGACTTCAAGGCCAGACTGGTCTACAAAGAGAATTTCAGGAAAGCAAGGACAAAGAAAACCTGTCTCAAAAAACTGAAACAAAACAACAGCAACAAAAAATTAATTAAAAAAAAAAAAGACTTTGCAATCTGAACAAAAGGAAGGTGCCAATATGGTGCAGTGTCTGGCACTGGGCAACTCTGACTGTTCCCTTCATGGGTCTGGCCAGCCCTTATTTCACTTTTTTTCCCATTTCTTTCATCCCCCTCCCCCCTCAAGCCTCCACTCTTCACTTTCGAGACAGCACCTCACTAGGTAGATTTGGCTAGCCTGGAACCTGCCACCACACCAGGCTCAGCCCTTACCTCTTGATGACAAACTGGATGCTGTTGCTAGCCTCCAGAATCTTCCGAAGCTTGGCAATCCCAAAGCAGTTGGGCCTGCGAAGAGAGATGCCTTCAGGCAGCCCCAGTACGAACAGCTCCTCGGGATGCATCAGGAACTTGGAGTAGGGCACCTTGACTGGCTCTGAGGTACCAATGGCTTTGGCTGTAAAGACACGGCTGCTGTAAGGCCACCTGGAGCCCCAACCAGTCCCCATCCCTCTGCAGGGGTTGCAGGGACCACAGGGCTTTGGAGACAGCACTTATTAGAACCCTGTGAACTTGACAGAGAGGAGAAAAGCACACCTAGCCTGTAGGTAGGGTGAGAGTCCCCAGGGAAGGCGACTTGTCCTCATGTACACATCCTGGGAATGTAAGCCTTCATAGCCCAGAAAACGGAGTACCGTTGGGAAATGACTATGGGTCCCTCATCTCCACCTCACTCCCCACCCCGCCACCTTCAGAAAGCCCCATGGCACGCCAGATCTATGACTAGTCTCATCTGAACTCTCTGCCCCCGAGTAGCCTGGTGCTCTAAGCTAGCCTCATCACTGCAGCAGGCTCCATATTTCCTCATTTGTAAAATGGGTCTTAGGATACAAGAACTGAGGAAGGATGAGACAGTGTGAGAAGCCAACACCTGGCAAACTCAAGGAGCTAGAGAGAGGCAGGGTTCTTCAATCTCTCTTTCATGGACTCTGTTGTTTTAGTGGAAGGCTGTGGGTGGAACCCAGGGTATCACCTACCCCATCACTGGGTGGGGGGGATTCTAGGCAGGGGCTCTACCACTGAGCTACATCTCACTGGAAGATCCTTTGTAGAAACTCTCTACCACTGGGCCATGCCCCTGGCCCCATCACTGGTGGATCCTAAGAAAACACACTGTACCATTGAGTCACACACACACACACACACACACACACACACACACACACACACACACACACACACACACAGCTTTTCTGGATTCCAGAGAAAGCTCGTTCTTGCTGTGAGTTCCCAGGAAAGCCTGGAGCTTCCACGAGGCCCTCCGTGGCTGATACTAACTGAAAGCACATGAGCCGGGGAATGATCTGGAGGAAGAATGTGGACCAACAGGCCAGCAGGGTAGGATACTCTGCTAGAGGCTGTTGTCATGGGTGACAAGTGTTCCCATCCTGAATATGGGTCCCTTTGCCTCTGTCCTGGAGGCCTATCCCTGTCCCTACTCACCATATTTCGTGTTGAACAGCATCTCCACCTGCTTCCGCAAGGGCCGGATCACATCACCAGGGCTTTCTGGAAGACAAAGGCAGTGTGCTGAGCTTCCTCAGTGCAGGGACTTCCCTGTCCTTAACTCACACCCCCAGCTCCAGAGGTACCGGGAATTACCTCTGAGACTTTGGAAAGAACAAGGAAATGGCAGCTCTACCCAAGCCCGTAATTCCTGGATTTTGCATACTTGACTGTGAAATGTGCCACAGTGGAGCTCTAGAAGGTTCTGTGGTTGTTGTGGATAGCACCACTTTTAGATCAGCTCACTAAGTGACCTAACTAGTTAGTGGGTGCAAAGTAAGCCTGCAATTTGCAGACACTGCCACCAGGGAGCGCAACAAATATTTCCCAATACTTTACAGGTACCATGTCTACAGCACAGTCTAGAACTTTCTACCACCTGGTACAGTTCACACAGGACTCCCAGGACAAACACAGGTTGTTGGAGGGAGATGATGGAGTGGAGGAGGAATCTCTCATAGGGGTGGAGTGAACATGGAGAGGGAATCATGGGAGACAATCAGGGTTTTACCTTCTGGTGGCTTCTCTTCCTGCCACGGCTCCTCACTGGGGCCTTTGTCTAGGAGAAAACAGGATGTTAAGAAATTATGTTCGGGGGCTGGAGAGATGGCTCAGTGGTTAAGAGCACTGACTGCTCTTCCAGAGGTCCTGAGTTCAAGTCCCAGCAATCACATGGTGGCTCACAATCATCTGTAATGAGATCTGGTGTCCTTTTCTGGTTTGCAAGTATATATGCAAGCAGAACACTATACACAATAAATAAATCTTTAAAAAAAATCATGTTCATGCTGGGCAGGAGTGGTATAAGCCTTTAATCACAGCACTTGGGAGGCAGGCAGATCTCTGTGAGTTCAAGGCCAGTTTGGTTTATAGCGTTAGTTCCAGGACAGCAGTTATACAGAGAAACCCTGTCTTGAAAGACAAAAATCGCCAGGTGGTGGCGGCACATGACTTTAATCCCAGTACTCAGGAGGCAGACAGATGTCTGTGAGTTTGAGTCTAGCCTGGTCTACAGAGTAAATTTCAGGACAGCCAGGGCTACATAGAGAAACCCAGTCTCCCTCCCCCCCCCCCCCAAAAAAAAACTAAACCAAACCAAACAAAACAAAACAATAAACCATGTTTGTCTTCTCCTGGACCCCACACTGTTCCAAGGATGAAAACTAGGCTAGGCAGCCTCAACTCTGAGGCAGAGTAGAACACCCCCCAGATGGGAATGGATGGGACAATCCATGCCATTCAAATAGAAAGCAACAATCATGCTGTATGGAGTCCCTCCAGGGGCCGGCCCCCAGCCACTCTATTCTAGACACTAAGGAAGATAGGGAAGGACAGGAGGATGTCCCGTCCTCCTGGTGTGACATCACAGATTAACACACCAGTATACAGAGACTCACACCTGTGATTTTAGAAAATCAGACTCTGAGACTGGAGGATTGTGAGTTTTGAGGCCTGAGGGAAACAGAGAGGCTATGTCTCAAAAAAACAAAAACAAATACCAACCAACCAAACAAACAAACAAACAAAGAAAAAACAAACCAAAGGCCCGGAGCACAGCTCAGCAATAGTGCACTTTCCTAGCATGCTCTGCTATTGGCCCCCGGGTTCCATTCTCAGCACCAAAAAATAAATTAAATACATTTACAAACTGGGCGGTGGTGGCATACACAGTTAATCCCAGCACTTGGGAGGCAGAGACAATGAGTTCCAGGACAGCCTGGTCTACAAATCAAGTTCCAGGAAGCCAGGACCATCCCACAGAGAAAACCTGTCTCAAAAAACAAAACAAAATTTACAAAATGCATAACACAAATATGCACACTCTCAAGTGTGCACACATGTGCAACACACACACACACACACACACACACACACACGGCTGGGCATTGTGGTATAATCCTAGCACAGGGAAGCTGAGGCAGGAAGATTGGGTTGCAGGACAGCCTGAGCCATGTAGCAAGATCCTGTCTCAAACTCTGTGGAGATGCACCCCAGCAGTAATGGTTAGTTTTAACTGTTGAAAAGTGCTTTTACCTGCCAAGCCATCTTTCCAGCCTCCATTTTTTGGTATTTTGAATTGCCTGGCAAGACAGTCTAATAAGGGGTTGTCTAAATCAGATTGGCCCGTGGACATGTCAATGAGGACTGTATCGGTTATGTTAGTAGTGTGGGAAGATTAAAGGGAGGGGTCCCATTCCCTGGGTCTGGGTTCTGAATGGTAAAGGAATAAGAGAAAGCAAAAGGAGCAGAGAGTATGCATCCATTCTCTCTGCTCTTGACTAGAGATCAATTGATGTGACGAGCGGCTTCAAGTCCCATCATCGTGACTTCCACACAACTGGGATTTGTGAACCATATAAACCCTTCCTCCGTTACATTGTTTTCTCTTTTTTGTCAATATCTGTGATCAAACAAGAACACTTCTTTTCATCCTAGCAACGCGGGAGGCTGAGGCAAGCGGCTTGGGAGTTTGAGGCAGGTCTGTATTACTCAACCAGCTCAAGAGGGGCTACACAACTTAGAGGGATCCTATCTCAGAATATGCAAAGGAAGAAACACACGTGCGCGTGCACGTACACACACACACACACACACACACACACACACACACACACACACACGGCTGGGGATGCAGCTCAGCTGGGGAGAGCTTGCCTGGGATGTGCCAGGTCTTATGTTTGATATACAGCATACCTTTAGACTATCTGTATAAGATACAAGTAAAACACAAAGAACTGTCTTGGGTCTGGGGAGATGGCTCAGTAGTTAAAAGACATTACTGTCCTTACAGAGGACCTGAGCTCAGTTCCCAGCATCCGTATCAGGTGCTCACAACTCCAGCTCCAGAGAATCTGATGCCCTCATCTGTCCTCTGAAAAAGCATATTTTCTTAAGTTTTGAGGACAGGATTTCTCTGTGTAACAGCTCTGGCTAACCTGGGACTTTGTAGATCAGGCTGGCCTCAAACCCACAGAAATGCACCTGCTTCTGCCTCCTGAGCACTGGGATTAAAAGTGCGTGCTGACACTGTCTGGTTATACTATGTGTGCGTGCGTGCATGCATGTGTGTGTGTGTGTGTGTGTGTGTGTGTGTGTGTATGTTTGTGTGTGAGGAGGGCATATGCATGCCACAGTAGACACATGGAGGTCACAGGACAACTTGCAGTTGTCTCTCATTATACCCTGTGAGCCCCAGGGATCGAACTCAGGACATCAGGCTTACACAGCAAGTGTTTTTAGCACCAAGCCATCTTTAGCCCACATTTTTGGTTTCACATAGCCTAAGGTAGCCTAGAACTTGCCATGCAGCCAAGGATAACCTTGAACTTCTGATCCTCCAGCCTCTATCCCCCCACCTCTTAGGCTGGGATTAATGCTCCACCACACCAGGCTTTTGGGGGGAGGGAGTTACTTGTTGAGGTCTTCACCCCCTGCAGTGCTAGGCATGGAACCCAAGCCCTCAAACATCCTACATTAGCAATCTGCTACTAGGCTTCAAGCCCAACCAATGCGCTGATGCGTAGACTGAGGTCTCATCCCTGAAAGCAGCTTATCAAGTTGCACATAGGGACGGCATGGCGCTTGTGTTGATTCTTCTCTAGCAAAGGCACACAACTTCAAGAAAAACTTGGGGGCCTCCCAACCCACCTGCTCTCCCTGTAGCTGCCCAGGGAGGTAGGCCCCCGGGATGGCCAGCCCCAGCCCACCTCTTACCAGCCGGTATTTCCATCCCGTAACCAGAATCCTCCGAGGGCAGGTGTCCAGGTAGCGAGTCGGCCATCTCCTCAGAAGTTGGTGAAGGATCTAAAGGGAAACTCCAAATGATGATCGTGCCCTTTACATGTCCTGCTCATCAGGGTCCCTCAGAGGAGCCAACAGGCCAAGCAGGGCTACAGACCAAGATTGTAAAGAAACCCATGCAGCCAGATGTGGTACCGCCTGTGATTTGATGACCTCAGCTCTGGGGAGGGTGAAGCAAGCAGAACTTAGAGTTTAGGGGCTACTGAGTGGGTCAGGGCTGGGTCAGTCAACTCAGTGAAACCTTGTCTCAAAATAAAAAGTGAAAAGGGGTGTGGCTCAGTCGTAGAGCACCTGCCTAGAATCCCCCAGTGAGGGGCAAATGTGTGGCTCAGTGGTGGAGCAATTCCTCAGCACATAGAAGACTCCAGGCTATATCTCAAACATGGGGGGGGGGGGATCAGCCCAGGCACAATGGCCTGATGGAATAGGTCCAGGGCAGCAGAGCAGCACAGCTTCTGCCAACCTGTCTGTCTAGGAACAGGAGCACCAACAGTCCTTCGATGTTTGTCTCTTACCTGGGACAGTAACCTGAATGATGTCCAGCTCCTCTGGCTCAATTTTGATGGGCCTCAACATTCCTAGCTCTCCTGAGGTTCCTGCAAAGAGACAAGAGTGATCCCGTCAAACAGGGGCACAGGCATGCCCACACAGAGGCAAGTCTTTCCAGAACATTCTCATGTCTGTGAACTGATAGTGAACAACTAGGAAGAGTCATTTTGAACCCTTGGAGAAACTCAGGCCAAACCTGGCATCGCTAATGTAAAGAGTTTAAGGCCCCCAGGAGTGACGATGGGGTTGCTTGTCCACAGATACAAAGGTAGACAGTGGTGATGCTAGGATTTGGTTTCTACTCCCCTTCCCTCTCCAGAGGGTTCCCAGCATGCTCTACTTGTGAAGCTTTGGGGATGGCCAAGGGAAGAGAACTATCCTGAGTACTGAGGGCTCACAGCCTGGGCAGGTCTCCCCATGGCTGTCAGCAGGAAACTGCTAGGCACTTTGTCAGCTAGCCACCCTCCCACAGAATACCACATACAAGGGAGACACACCACTCCTCACCTGGCCCGCAGTCTTCAGAGACACTGCTCTTGTCTGACCTGAGAAAGGAAGGTGGGGAAATGAGCCAGTGTCAACCTTGTCCTGAGTCACTCTGCCCAGCCTGGCTCAGCCCACACTTCAGACACCACCCCTCCCCCAAATCTGAGTGTTGCAGAGCCCATTTGTGACCTCAGTACTTGAGAGAAGCACACACACAGGAGGATCGCTGGGAGATCAAGACTCTGTAAAAGTCTGAGAAAACCAAGCCAGGGCTGGAGAGCTGGCTCAGAAGTTAAGAGGGCCTGCTGTCCGTGCAGAGGAATCAAGTGCCGTTCCCAGCATGCACATGGGCGGCTCACAACCATCTATAACCAGCTCTACTTAGTGTACACAATGCTCTCCATACACACGTGGTGTGTATAGATACATTCAAGCACACAGATATGCATATAAGATAAAAATAGTCTTAAACTAGGCATGGTGGCACATGCCTTTAATCCCAGCACTCGGGAGGCAGAGGCAAGTGGATCTTTGGGAGTTCAAGGCCAGCCTGGTCTACAAAGTAAGTTTCAAGACAACCAAGGCTACACAGATAAACCCTGTCTCAAACAAAACAAAATCAAGACCAGGTATGAGGGAGCATGCCTTTAACCACATCACTAAGGAAGCAGAGGCGGGTATATCTCTATGATTCAGAGCCCGCTACACACAGAGTCCTTGTGTGGTATCTAAGTGTGGAGTCCAAGTGGGGTGATGGGAACCAGTTAGCTCTTCCTAAACTGTGCAGATCACAGGCCTAACCCAGAGCAGAGAAGGGGCCTTACCAAGCAGTCCCAGCCAGGTCCAGCATAGTGTCCCTACAGACCTCTGTGGAAGTGTCTTCAGGTGGGCTGGCTGGCTCCAGCTTCATGGGGTCTTTGGTAAACTTGTTCCCTGTGAGAAGAATTAGGTTTAAGATGGCAGCTCTTCAGCCAGATGTAGTGGCACATGCCCATATTCCCAACATTCAGGAGCCTAAGGTTGGCTGTCATGAGTTTGAAGCCACCTTGAACTATGACCCTATCTTGTGAACTCTCAATGATAGGGCCTTTCTTGTTGGCGATAGACACCAGGTAGTGGCTTCTACAGGACATTCCTAGAGGCACTTCCGGGAGGGGGGAGTCTGCTTCTGATCTCTTCTTTGGGGGCTGTGTGTGAAACAGCCTATTCATCTGTCTATACCCTGCTCTCATTCTGGAACATTCTCCTCACCCTCTGCCAGGACATGATAATGTAAGAGCCTCAGGAGAAAGGCCAAGCCCCAACTTGTACCCATTTGTCCCACGGGACCATTCTCTCCTTTAATAAAACCAGAAATTAGCAGGCAGCTAGATCCTCTTCTTTATTTTTTTTTTCTTTTTTTTCTTTTTTAGTTTTTCAAGACAGGGTTTCTCTGTATGGCTCTGACAGTCCTGGAACTCTCTGTGTGAGATCCATCTGCCTGTGCCTAGGAGTAAAGACATGTGCCACCACCACCTAGCCAGCTAGTTCGTCTTATTGTCTCCATGTCACAGATGGGGAAACTGAGGCCCGAGACAATGCACAAGGTTTCAAAGCTGCCAGTTAGCAGAGCTGTTAATAGGACTCAGCTACATCAATGCCCCAAGGGTTAGGTGACTGAAGCTTTGGGGCCACAGCATCTAAGAGAAATGTCACCCCCCCCACTTCCCCAGTGGGACCAGACCCATGTCTGTAGAATGGCTGAAACTGATAAGGGTGGTGGCACATGCCTGCAATCTCAGGACTCTAAGAGACAGAGGCAGACAGATCCTGAATCTAAGGCTAGCCTGGGTTGCATAGAGGCCAGGCTGGGCTGTATGGTGAGACGATGAGAAAGAGATAAATAATGGGGGGGGGGTGTCGAATAAAAGAAGATAAAATGAATAAAACAAGGTAGCTCAGGGACTGGAAAGACTGATCTATAAGCAAAGTGCCTGCCACGCAGGCATGGAAACCTGAATTTGGAGACCCAGCACCCACATAAAAGCCAGACGCAGGACCGTATGCCCATAAACCCAGACAAGGCAGGCAATGACTCAATCATTGAGCAAGCTGTCTCCAAAAGGAGTTATGGTGGAGAGTGACTGTGGAAAATAGTTCAAGGACCAACTTGACTTCTGGTCTCCACACGGATAGACGGGTGGACAGACAGACAGACACACTAACGAAAACAAAGACCAAGGTAGTTCCGAAGGGCAGCTGGCTCTACGTTTAGCAAATGGTATTACTATTTCCTCCAAGGAGACTTTAACGTTACAAGGTTCCAGTCTGTCGGCCATTGGCAGCCTAGAGACCACATATAATCCCAAGATGCCAAAGGGGATTCAAGGGAAACGGTTTAGTTTGAGGAGACACCCACTCCAGAACAGACCACCCGACGGTACCCACTTACCTGTGAAAATGCGTTCATCAAACATCCTGGGAAGAGAGGAAAGAGAACATGAGTACAGTGCAGGCTGCTCCTGTCAGAGACGGCCACAGAGCTCACCAGTGCGGTTCTCAGAGCCATGAACTAGGGCACAGGGCTGGCCACACCCACGGGCAAGAGTTGGGGAGTGATGGGGAGTGATGCCAACCTGATGGGACTTGTAATCACCAGAAACAAACCTCTGGTCATGTCTGTGAGGGAGTTTCTAAACTACTTAACTGAAGAGGAAAACCCCACATCCCATGGGCTGGGGTCCTGGACCAAATCAAAAGAAGAAAGACGTTGGACATCAGCGTTCATCTCTTCACTTCCTGATTGAGGATGCACTGTGACCAACCATCTCATGGTCCTGCTGCCAATTTTCCCACCCTGACGGACTGTGAACCCTTAAACTGTGAGCCCAAGTAACCCTTTCCTCCCTTGAGTTGCTTTCATTAGATGTTTTATTATAGCATCAAGTAAAAGTAACGAATACAGAGGGAACCTGAACAACTCAAGCTCAGGTCTCATTGTCACTCTGGCCATGAAAGACCTGTACAGGATTTTTTGTTGTTCTGTTTTTTATTTTTTTTTTTTTAAAGACAAGGTCTCGTGTAGCCCAGGCTGGCCTCAGACTCCCTATGTAGCCAAGGATGACCCTGAGATCCTGACCCTTTTGCTTCCACCTTCTATGTGATGGAATTACAGGCCAGTAACACCACGCCCTGTTTGTACTGCTGGGTATGGAAGCTGCCAGAGCTTTGTGATGGACAGGCAGGCACGCTACCCACTGAGCCATATCACCACCCCTAGACCTGCTCATCAAAGCCTGTTGTACCTGTGTCTCACTAAGAGCCAGGCTTGGCAAAAAGCAAGTTGGAGCAAATAACAGATCACAGCTAAGGAAGGTGACCTGAGGGATTCTTCAAGGGTGTTCCCAGAAAGCAGCGGCCCCAAGCAAGGGCAGAAACTAGGGTGTCCTGTAGATAGTTAGAAGCAAGTTCCTTGTAGTGATGTGCTCACAGACAGGGGCTTCCACTCATGGGACCTAAGGAGCCCTTGAACCTTGTAACAGGGTCAGATCCCTGATGGACCAATTAGAGAATAAGAAGCCGGAGACCAGGGATGGTCAAGGACCAAGATAAAGCAACTGGAGCTCAGGCCATGAATGGAGGCGTCTGCCTGTAATGCCAACATTTGGGAGGCTAACGCAGGAGGATCTTGAGGTCGAGGCCATGGGCTATGTATTATGAACTCATCTTAAAAAAGACTAACAATAACAGTTATTATCGACATGGCCATGCAAGGCAAAGATGTTCCCAAGAGAAAGGAGATCAGGGGTTCAGGGTTGGCATCACACGTGCACTGGTTAGTTTTCTATTGTCTCTTGGATACAAAGTAGAGGAGCTGCCAGCATCAGACTGGCCTGTGGATGTTTCTGTGAGGGATTGTGTAAACTGGCACATGAGGGCCTGGTCCACTGTGGGCGGCACCATTCCCTGGGCGGGTGATCCTGAGTTGTGTAAGAGAGCTAGCGGAGCCTCGGCAGGGGTGAGCCACAGCCCCGAGTTAGTGAGCAGCATTCCTCTGTGGTTCCTGCTCTGGCTTTCCTCAATGGTGGACTGTGGCCTGAAACAGGAAATCAACGCTTTTTCCTCAGTGACGCTGCTTTCGGTTACTGTGTTCATCACAGCAGCAGGAAGAAACTAGGGCAGGAGGCGGAGCTGGAACTGCACGGTGGCTATGGGGAAAGTGCCTGTGTGGAGTGTCACGAAACCTATCATTTTCCATGATCAGTCTAAATGAACTTGCTCACAGTACATGGGATCCTGCCTTTAAAAACACAAACAGCAAAAACGACAACAACGAACTAGCCAGGAACAGTGGCGCATGCTTTTAATCCCAGCACTTTTGAGGGCGGAGACAGGTAGATCTCTGTGAGTTTGAGGCCAGCCTGATCTATGCAGAATAAGTTCCAGGACAGTAAGAGATACATAGTGAGACCTTGACTCAGGGGGAGAAAAATCAACTCAGAGTAGACTGAGTTGGGTGTCTAGGTTAAGGTCCAGGGCATGAAGTCGGAACGTGACTTCCTGTTCTTCTTCTGAGAGACTGTGGCTTCCCTGCTGTTCCTGGAGCTCTGGGAGCTCACACACATCTGGAGACCACAAGGTCTGAAGCAGCCAGAGAGCATGCAGTGGGAGCTGATGACTTCCTGTCTGGGCCCGGCCTCCCTTCTCAGTCCCACTCACTGACCCAGCAGCTGAAGAATTAACAGGGGACCATTATTTATAAAGTACTGAGCTGGGGGGGGGGGAGAGTAGGGTCAGACTAAAGGGCTTCCACATCATTTTTAGAGATTTGCAGGCAGAGGAAAAAGGGCAGATGCTCTCATAGGACGTCTGGGCTGGAGGACACACTAGATGGAATAGGGTCCCAAAGTCCTGAGTTCTAGAATCTGCTGCTCTTTTTGCTTTTATGGCTCTGAGGACAGAAAAGTTCACTGTCTCACACACTGGGCAACTGCTCTACCACTGAGCCACACCCCAGCCCCTCACTGGGGGATCCTAGTGAGGTGTTCTTTCACAGGAACCAAGGCAATGCACACCTCTTGATTATGAAGTGAATGCTGTGTCGTTCCTCCAGAATCCGCTTCAGCTTGGGCACCCCATAAGTACAAGGTCGCTTGAAGGGGATCTTGTCCGGGATGCCCACAATTTCCACAGCTTCGGGGTCACAGGCAATCTTCCTATAGGGGACAGGGACCATGTGGTCCAGGCCCAGGGCTTCCGCTGGAAGGGCAAGAACAAGGATGAGTGCAGGAGACAAACCATGGGAGACCGTGGGCCAGAACCCAGGCCACACACAGTCTCTTCCCACTGCATGGGCTGTGGGGTAGCAGAAGCAACCTGTCACCTTTCTTTCTCTTTGTTTTACCTTTTGAGACAAAGTCTCACTATGTAGCCCTGGCTGACTTTATGTAGACCAAGCTGGCCTCAAATTCACAGGCCTGTCTGCTTCTGCTTCCCAAATACTGGCATTAAGGAACAGTGCCACTTTGACCAGAGTCTTTTTTTTTTTTTTCCTTGAACTTTTCAAGAGAGGGTTTCTCTGTGTAGCTCTGGCTACCTTGGAACTCGCTTGGTAGAAGAGGCTGACCTCAAACTCACAGAGATCCACCTACCTCTGCCTCCTGAGTGCTAGCTTTAATTAAAAGGGTGCATCACCACGTCCCTGGCCCAGAGTCCCTTTTTTTTTTTTTTTTTTTTTTTCTTTTTTTGTACATTTAAAAAAGTTTACCACTTATTTATTGGGAGGCATTGCTTGAGTATGGAGGTTCAAGGACAACTCGAGGAAGTCAGTTCTATCCTTTCCTCAGGTGGGCTCCTGGGATCGAACTCAGGGTGTGAGGCTTGGCTGTAAGAGCCTTTCTTTACCAGCTGAGCCATCTTCCTCCCTGCTTCCCTGCATCTACTTGAGACAGGGTCTTGTTACATTCCCCAGATTCACAGCAATCCTCCTGCCTCTGTCTCCCAAGGGCTGGGCTTGTCAAGCACTAACCATTGCTTGTTTTCTTGGGGGAAAACTGTTCCTTGTTCTGGGCTTTCCCTGTTCTCCTCAGGGTTGGGTTCTTGTAGCTCAGAGCTGACCTCCAGCCACCACTGGCCAAGTCAGGGCTGGGCAGGATAGTCCAGGTCCTTCAGGAGGAGCACATTGTTTTCTTGTTGACCCAGGTCTGTCTGGTGGCAGCGCTGGCAGCCAGCTCTACACTGTGAAGTCACACTTAGCTCGTTGTCAAGTTAAACCTCTGAAATCTCCACAGCTGTCAAATCATTTCTTCCCCACATCTGCCTCCTGTCTGGGGAGTCTGCCCTGCCTGCCATCAGTGTTTGGCCAATCGCTTTTTGGAGTTCACGTAAACTCATGACTAGGTAATGTCAGCCTCAAGGGACTATTTTTTCCTGAGATGGGGGTCTCTTTGAATTCACAATCCTCCTGCCTCCATCTCCCAAGGGCTGGGATTATAGGTGTGCATACTGTGCCTGGTTTATATGCTCCAGGGTATGGGACCCTGGCTCCACACACCCTAGGTAAGCACTGTACCCACTAAGCCACATTCTCAATCTCCTTTCATTTTTCTGACAGGGTCTCTCTTTATAACGCAGGTGGGCCTGCAATTCTTAAATCCTTTTGTCTTCACTTCAAGAATGCTGGGATATACCAAGTCCGCTCTCTCTGTTCCTCCCCAGCCCCCAAAACAGAGTTTCTCCGTGTAACAACCCTGGCTGTCCTGGAACTCACTCTGTAGAGCAGACTGGCCTCGAATTTACAGAGACCCTCCTGCCTCTGTCTCCTGAATGCTGGGATCAAAGGTTTGAACCACCACTGACAGGACAGCCAGGGCTATTAAACAGAGAAACCCTTTGTGGAAACCAAAACCAAAACTGGAGAGATGACTCAGAGTACTGACTATTCTTCCAGAGGACCCAGGTTCAATTCCCAGCACCCACAGGGCAGCTCACAACTGGAAAAAATAAAACAAGTGCTGGCAATGAATAGTCTGGCATTAGACTTCTCGAAGTCTGATCTAGGTTAAGTCAATCTGCACCAGGTTTTCCTTTTTCTTCTTTTTTTTTGGGGGTGGGGTGGTGTGGGGTTCAAGACAGGGTTTCTCTGTAGCTTTGGAGCCTGTCCTGGGACTCGCTCTTATAGACCAGGCTGGTCTTGAACTCACAGAAATCCCCCTGCCTCTGCAGACAAAGGCGGAAAGCCAGAAGGTGGTGTATACTTGGGAATCCTAGCAATGTAGGGATGAAGGCAGGAGGATTGCTGTCAGCTCAAATCCAGCCTGGACTATAGAGCAAAACCTTGTCTAAAATAAAATAAAAATAAATAAAGGTGGTGGATTGTGGCTCTGCTGGGAGAGTTCCCCTAACACACACAAAGCCCTGAATTTCACCCCTGGCATTGGATAAACAGGGTATGGTGGTGCATTCCTGCAAGAGAACATTCAGGAGGCAGGAGGCAGGAGGATCAGAAATTCAAGGTCATCTTTGGCTACACAGGGAGTTCAAAGGCAGCCTAGGTGAAATGAGACCTTGTCTCAAAATAAATATAAACAAGAAAGAAAGCTGGACAGTGGTGGTGGTGGCACACACCTTTAATCCCAGCACTCTTGAAGCAGAGGCAGGCAGATTTCTGTGAGTTCCAGGACAATCTGGCAGCCTGAACTATAGAATGAGTTCCAGGACAAAAACCAAACAGAAAGAAAGAAAGAAAGGAAGGGAGGGAGTAGGGAAGGTAAGTTGATCCAGTATTAGGCCAAGAGGCAACTTGGCCTAAATAGTAATTTCAAGGCTAGTCTTGGCTATAGAGTAAAAGAGCCCATCTTCAAAAATATAAGAGGGGAGGAGAGATGGTTTGGTGGGTAAAGGCAGTTTATTGTCATGCCCAGCAACCTGAATTTGACCCACGCAATCCGTATGGTAGAAGGAGAGAATCAACTTCTAACGTGTGTCCTCTGTACATATGTGTGCCACTGCACACTCCAGCCTACACACACGCACGCACGCACGCGTACACGTGCGTGCGCGCGCGCGCACACACACACACACACACACACACACACACACACACACACGGACAGACACAAATAAAAATGAAACACTCACATACTCAGGAGGCAGTTGGATCTCTGTGAGTTCAAGGCCAGTCTGACCTACATACGGAACGAGTTCCAAGATAGCCAGGGCTACACAGAGAAACCCTGTCTCCAAATAAACAAACAAAGCATTCATACACCCAAGACAACAAAAACACACAGAAAAGACAAGGGCTAGTGAGTGAAGGTAGCTCACCAAGTACAGGCACTTAACACCAAACCTGACAATCTGAGTTCAATCCCCAGTACCTAAATGATGGATAAGGACAATCAAATCCCAAAAGCTGTCCTATGACCTGCACGCATCCAATTGTATATAATTAAAAAGTCTTAGCTCAGGTGGTTAAGTGCTTGCCTTACAAACATACAGATCCAATTTTGATGCCCAGAACTAGTGGGGGGGGGAGGGGGAGAGGAAGGCCAGGAGTGTAGCTTGCACTTGAAACCCCCAACACCGGAGATAAGGAAACATATGGGGCCCTGAGGCTCATAGCCAGCCTCAATACCTATTTAGTGAGTTCCAAGCTATTTTTTTGACCTCTACACTTGCACTGTGGAATATGCGCACGCACGCGTGCACACACACAAATTTAATAACATTTTGTTTTGTTTTTTGAATTTTTTCCAGACAGGTTTTCTTTATATAGCCCTGGCTGTCCTGGAATTCACTCTGTAGCCAAGGCTGGCCACCACCACCACCACCACACCCCCCCACCCCACCCCACACCCGCAAGTGTTGGGATCAAAGGTGTGTGTCATCACTGCCCAGTCATAACTCTTTTTAAAAGATAAGGCCTCACTTAGTACCTCTCCAGCTGGGATAACTTTTTATGGAACCCTGGGTTCCATCCCCAGCACCACGGAATACTGGACGTGGGGTGCACAACTGGAGCCTAGAACTCAGGATTAGAGGGAGGATCAAAAGTTCAAGGCCACTCTCATTTACATAGCAATTCCAGTGCTGACCTGGGCTACCTGAGACTGTCTCAGCCACAGCACACAGCACAAGGTGGATAATGCCTAAAAATGAAAACTGAGCTTGTCCTCTGGCCTCAACACACATATGTGCAACTACACACATATATGCACGCACACACAACAAAAGTAGCATGGGGTCATGGGAGCAGTACAACAAGCCAACAGAGAGCGACATGTCCCCCTGCCCATCTTCCCACAGGTGGCTCAAGGTCTGGGGATCTGCCATCATCCCACCCCCACAAAGAATCTGCAAGGCAAATATTGACACAACCACCCTCTCCCCTAACGGGAGAGCCCACGCCGGATGCCACCCTCACTGACGCTGCGAGGGCGCCAGCATATGGCTCATGCTGTTGTGTTGGGGAACACAGCGACTGCCACACATAATGAGATGCTCACCCGGTGGGCTGCACCGCCCACTCACCGTATCTGCTGTTAAACAGGATCTGCACGCACTCCCGCAATGTGTTGATGTCCTCCATCTCCTTGATGAAGACGTCCCACTTCTCTATCAAAACACAGAAGGCCCAGTGAGGGCTGCTCCCCAAAGCGGGGGCCACCTCCTGTCAGAGTCCCCAGCTCCTGCTACTCTCCTCCGAGAGCCTAGGCTGCCATTCTAAAGCACACAGCCCTCCCGCCCATTGTCACCTCAGCCCCTATGTAATTTAGGGCGCTCAGACGTTGTCCCCTCTGCATTTTCCATAGAGTCGTGTGGGCTCAGATCTGCCCCTCCCCACACCACACTACCTCAGGCAGGCAAAAGCCTGGGAAAGTCACATCTCTTGAGGAAGGAGGGTCTTACTATGTAGACCAGGCTAGACTGGATGACAGGAATGTGTCACTGTGCCTCGGGTATTAGGCAGTACTAGTACTGGGACCTAGGACCCTGTACATGGCAGAGGAACAATCTATTGTCCAGCTAAGCTCTCAACCCCTCACTGAGAAATTCTAGGCAGGTGCTCTAGTGCTGAGACACACCACGTGGCCCTCACCGGAACTAAAAAACTATGTGAGCCCAGGTTAGCCTCAAAGGAGAGCATCCTGTCTCAGTTCCTAAGTGCTGGGACCTACCCATACATGACTCCTTTTTTCTTTCTTTACTTTTTTTTTTTTTTTTTTTTTTTTTGAGGCGGGGTTTCATTAGGTATCTCTGGCAGGCCTTGTACTTTCTTTTCTTTTTTCCTCTGGTACTTTCTATGTGAACCAGGCTGGCCACTCACAGAGATCCTCCAGCCTCTGCTTCCTGAATGCTGAATTAAAGGCACACACCTAACTTTTTTGATATTTCTTCTCTCATGAGGAGGAGTAGAACTTTTCCCCCTCTGAGCACTGGCTGGAACATTCTGGGTTTCTTCTACATAGAATGGGCCAGAAATGGTCATTTCTGAAGTGAGGTTATGGAAAACAAAACAAAAAAACCAGGCTTCCTCCTCTCTCTGTCTCTGACCACCAAGTCTGAGAACGTGAGCCGCCATGTTGTGAGTCTGCTCAGCTGACCTGATGTAAGTAAACCAGCCCAGATGATTTAGAACTGAAGTCTCTTGTTTCAGTCAAGCCTTCAGATTAGACTACAGCCTGACTGACACCATGCCTATAAGTTTGTGAGAGACCCTACACCACAACCTGCGTCCTCCTCTGCTGTGATAATCTGAATCAGGTTTGCTTGGCAACTTGACAGGATTCAGAATCACTATGGAAACGACCCTCGGGGGTGTGTTGTCTAAGTTGGGAAGTTGTCTAACTGTGGGCAGTACCATTCCAAAGCTAAGATTCCAGATCATACAAAAAAGAAGAAACCAAGCTAAACGCCAGCATTCATCTCTTCCCAGTCTCTGTGTGACCAGCCGCCTCAAGCTCCTATCACTGTGTCTTCTGTACCTTGATGGACTGACTGTAAGCCCTCAAACTATGAGCTACAACCGAGTCTTTCTCCCTTAAGTTGCTTTTGTCGACTATCTTATCACATAGCAAAAAGAAAAGTAACTAATACACACATAGAAATTATGTGGGTAACAAACATTTTTTTAAAGCTCTAGTTTGGGGATATTTGTGACCTCCATGGCTATTATTCCCAGGTTTGACTCCCAGGCCCTTGGGGAAAACTGTTCATCTCCTTTCTCACCAATATCTAATGGACCCCATTTTCATCACAGAAAATCACTCTGGCCAGGTCACTGTCAAGGGAGCCGGCCTACCTGACTTGTCATGGACGATGGAGAAGAGGATGCGCTTGGAAGCATGGACATTCTGGATGAGAGGACCAGCAGGTCCTGCAGGCTTCTGTCCTGAACAAGGGGGAAAGAGAGGCATGCATTTTGGAGGGGTCCCACATGCCTCAGAGAAACTAGAACTGAGCCCCAAGATCACAAGGTTCCCGGCCAGACCTCTAACTACAGGTCTCAGTTGCTCTGTTTCCGGCAGGCACCGTGAGAGCAAGTTGTTAGGCTCACCTTTCTTTTCTCGTTCTTTTAATTACATTTATTCATTTATTTATAAAGATGAAAGGACAACTCATAGGAGGCAGGTCTCTCTTACTATGTAAGTAACCAGGAATTTAACTGAGGTCATTGAGCTTGATGACAAATGCTGTTAGCTAGGCAAGTGCTTGATCAACTCAGCCTTGTCCTCCAACACCCAAGTCTGAAATATCTACTTTAGGAATCTTTTTTTGTTTGTTTATCTTGTCCAGGACAGGCTTTCTCTGTGGAACAGCTCTGCCTGTCGGGGAAATGCTTTGTAGACCAGGATGAACCCAGAATTCACAGAGGCTGGCTTGCCTCTGCCTCCCAAGTGCTGGGATTAAAGGTGTGAGCCACCACTGTCTGGCTGCTTTAGGAATCTTCATGCCAAGTATCTTAGATAAGGGATAAGATATTTCCTTTTTACATTCCATTTTACAAACAAGGAAACTGAGACTCAGTGAGGTTGAGACTTGCCCTGGCACACACAGCTGGGATAGAGCCCACATTTTCATACTCTGAAGCTCCTTCTCTTAAGGCCCCTAGATCTTGAATCCAAGCAGGGAATGTAGTAGGTGCTCATTAAATGCATATGAGCTGATCATTTTATCCCTTTTTGTCAATCACATTCATCTCTTGCGGGTGTGTAGACACACATGCATGCATACAAGAGTGCATGTGTGGAGGTCAGAGGACAACTAGTGGCATCCAATATTCTCCTCCTACTGCATTAGTCTTAGAGATTGAACTGAGGTCATTAAGCATGTTGGCAAGCGCCTTACCAGCCGGTCCATCTCATCATCCCTGATTAGGTTATTTACCCTCTTCCCAGCCTCCTGGGGGGTGAAGATGCCTCTGGGTTCCATCCAAGGTCTGTTCAGAAGGTCAAGTGGAGGCCCCAGTTTAATTGGGTCTCAACAGAATAGAATGGGCAACACCCACCCATGCCCAGAAATGCCTCCTCCCTAGAGGCAACCACCCAGACGTGCAGGTTCTCACTACAGCATTACCACAGCAGTCGGAGAAATCTTGGGCACTGGGAACCTGGGGCTCAGGCACAGGCCAGCCCAAGCTCAGGTCGCTGGGGGTCAACGGGCAGGTGGGCGCCTCCTGCTTGAGTTCCCGGATGGTGTGGTTGGGCATCGATGCGGTGTACAGGAAGTTGGCCATGGAGGATGGGGTGGCGGTGGGGGGCAGGTCCTGGGGAGTGACCTTGGAGGCCTGGCCATGCAGACTGCAGTCTCTGGACCCCTTGGGTAGCAGGGAGATGCCGTTCATCTCCACTAGAGCCTTTGAGTCCCGTCCACTATCATCCGGAGGCCTGGGTGAAGGAGAGGAGATAGTGACTGAATACCTACTCTTGTCTGTCAATCTCTCCCTTCACAGCCCATGTAACACACTCTACGGGATATAACAGACCTGGGTTACTACAGGTATTCCAATGGGGTGGGATGGGAGCCACGCCCTACATTCTAGGTAGGGAAGCAAGCCTGGTGGTGGCACCGGCATAATGCACTCGATACCAGGTGGTGGCAACCACTGGAAGACCCAGGCCTGCACCAAGCTGCCTCAGTTCTCCAAGCCACCAATCCCCTCCTCTACCTGGTTCCTTCCCATCCCAGCTGTCCCTCCTCATACCTGCTCATGCATTGCTGGGGAAGATTTAGCAGCTATTTGCCACATGAAGTCACCAGCTATGCTGGCCCCATGGTATCCACCTTGGCCCAGCCTTGACCTCACCTCTCATTAGTCTTTTACAAATCTCATTCACAGCCCAAGCTCACATCCAAGGTAAATGAGGCTCAAGTCTTTTAAAGCCAATTCATGTTTTTGAGACAAGGTCGCACATACCCAAGGTCATCTCAAACTTACTATGTAGTTGAGGATAACCTTGAACCTTTGATCTTCTTACATCCACTTCCCAAAAGTGCTGGCATTAGAGTCATGGATCCCTACATGACAATCTCAACTCTACACACCATCATTTGCCCCTGACCTGTGCGGAGGCATAGCCTTTGGTATGACTCTTCCTTAAGCCAGAATTCTTCTGGACACAGTGATACGGAAGTCCCTTGGGAGACTCCCGTAGCCAGGCCCTGACTCAAATCACACTGTGTGACTGGGTCTTAGCTTTAATTCCTCCCCAAAGCCCAAAGCTTTTCCCTCCAGCTTTCTGCTCTCTGGCTGGGTAGGAGATGTGACAGATTTGTCTTTTTTTTTTTTTTTTCAAGTGTGTGGGGGGGGTGGAGGGTGCAGAGACAAACTTACTATGGCTTGAAATCTGCCACATAGTCCTGGCTGGCCTGGAATCTGCCAGGGTGGCCTCAAACTCAGACATCCATCTACCTCTCCGTCACAAATGCTGACATTAAGCTGTGTGTCACTGCAACCTGAGAGCTTTAACTTGACATTGTCTACCATCACATGGGAAGAGAGTCTCGAAGACAGATTTAGACCAGGCTAGCCCGTGGGCATGTCTGTAGGGAGACTATCTTGATTATACTGAGGTAGGAAGGCCCAGCCCACTGTGGGTGTCATTATTCTCTAGGCAAGGGATTCTGGGCTGTCTAAGAGTAGACCAAGCAAGATGAATGCTGGCATGCTTGCCTGAATTCATTGCTTTTGGCTCTCGACTGTGGATGTAATGTGACTAGCTGCTTCAAATTCCTGGTGACTTGACCTCCCTACAGTAGTAGACTGTAGCTTGGGATTGTGAGCCAAGTGAGCCCTTTCTCCCTTAATGGGCTTTTGTTGGTATTTTTAACACAGCAAAAGGAAATGAAACTAGGACAGGGGCTTACTCACCTCCTGAGCTTAAACCGTATTCGGTGGCTGTGCTCCAAAATGGCCATGAGCGCCTTGGGGTCATACTCAGCTGGCCTCCGGAAGGCCAGGCCTTCGGGCAGTCCCTGCACAGCCAGCAGCCCCGGCTCCCTGAGCAGCCTCTCATAGGGCAAAGGTACCACACTTGCCCTGCCCATAGCCTCACCTGTCAAGGAGTAAACAGTGAGGCTCAGTACTGGTGGGGCTTGGCCAGACACATTGGGAGCCAGGCAATGTGAGGTGACTCCCTGTTGGAGAGGGGCTCCGGGTCCCTCATTGCTATAGAAGCGGTATAGAATGAACAGCACCAGCCTGTAGATAGAGCCGTACTGTGTATGTCAGAAGGCTGGAGAGCGGAAACAGGAAGGCCCTTATGCCACACTGTTAGACTGAACTTTGCCAGTGATGATAGGCTGAATTTTAACCTCTGGCTTGTCTTATGGGAAGATAGTCTTGGTGCCAGAATAACCAGGAGGCAGAAGGGAGTGGTCTACTGGAAGGCTATGGGGTGGGGAGGTACTAAGAGGTAGCTGTCCAGGAAAGGTGGCTGGATAGGGATACTCATTCCTGGGAGCCTGGAAAAGGGCTAAGGGTCTTGGGGTCTTGTTTTGCTCAGGGGGCCTACAGTGCAGAAGCAGGTGCTGCTCTACTGGGTGAGATGGGGAAGGGCTAGACCATGAGGGACTGGGACGAAGTAGGTAGGGTCAACTGGGTAGAGCTGGGCAGGGCTAGGCAGGGGGCTGGTGGGGTAAGGGCAGGGCTGACCTGGGTAGGGCCTTGCTGGCCAACTACACTGGGTGGGGTCGGGCTAGGTGGAACTGGGCTAAAGTGGATAGGGCAAAGCTAAGCAGGGCTAGATAGATAATTTAGCCGGAGTAGGCAGAGCTGGGTTGAGATGGGCAGAGCAAGTGGGATTAGAATATGGCTGGGTGAGGCTGGGATGACGTGGCTGGGCTAAGGTAGGTGGGGCACACAGCTGAGCAGGGGTAGGCTAAGTAGGGCTAAGCAGCGTGGAGTTTGGTTGGTATTGGTGGAGTGTAGCTGGGCGAGACACAATGAACACACAGCGGGACAGAAGTGGGTGGGGCTAAACCAGGGGCTGACGTGGTGGCTGGGCAGGGTTAGGCTGAGGTTGGCGGGCAGGGTGTGGCAGAACTGGTGGGTCTAAATTGGATTTGGCAGGAAAGGTCGGGACAGACGTGGATGAATAGGGCTGAGCAGGGCTGGGTAATGGCCGAGGTGGGGTGGGCAGAGCTCAAACAGTTAAGACTGGGCCGAGACTGGCAGAGCAGGTGGGGCTGGGATTGAAGTAAAGGCTGGATGAGGCAGGGTCAAGGTGGGTGTGGTTACACTGGGAGGCATGGCTGGGCTGACCTGGATATAGTGGCTTTGGGCAGGAGGAGAGGCTGGGTCAGACACCAGTGGGCAGGGCTAGGCAGGATGGAGTGGAGTTGGATGGAGCTGGGTGGAGTGAGGATGGGCTGAGGTGGGTGGGTCTAAACAGGGTCAGGAGTGTGGCTGGAATGATGGGCAAGGCTAGGTGAGGTGGGCGGGGCTTGGCTGATCTGAGGCGAACAGGGATGATCTGGAAGGGACTGAACTAGACAAGGCAGGTGTGGGTAGGCTGGTCTCCCACCCGCCCCTTTCCGGAATGGAATGAGGAAGGATCTTACTATAAAGAACATCAAACACTTCCTCTACCATCTTCTGCAGCAGGTACACATCCGAGCACTGCTCCAGAGAGGACCGCGGGATGCTCCGGCCACCACCCTCGCAGCGCTGCACCTTTTTAGGGTGTCCTGCTTCTGGATCCTTCCATAGGGGTCCCCCTGTGGGACAAGATCACACGAGCCATAGATTGGTGTTAAGCCCCAGAATGTTTGAATGAATGATGAATGAATGAATGAATGAATGAATGAATGAACACCCTGCTGAGAGCCAGGAAAGGCTGCAGGTCTCAATCTGGCTACACACTTGCTGGCTGACCTCAGGGTTGTCCTTTCCCTCTCCGAGCCTCATTTTTTGATCCCTCAAAGAAGCCCATTGAGTCGGGCTCAGAACTGGGACTCCACGAACATCTCGGATTCACGCACCCCACTCTATATTCATACTAACCCACTCCCTTTCAACCCACCTAAGCCCTAGTTTTCTGCTCCGCTCACATGGAAAACAACAGAGATACAGCGATTGTTAGTTTTTAATGTCAGTTTGTCACAATCCGAGAAGGATGGCGCCAATGAATTATCTAGATTAGTGGTTCTCAACCTGTGGGCCATGACCCCTTTGTGTTATTTGGGGCTGGTGCGGCTGTATCACCATTGATGCCGAACTTAGTGCGGACACCCGATCGGCATAGCGCACTACACCTTTGGGAGGGGGTCAAATGACCCTTTCACAAGGCTTGTCTAAGACCATTGGAAAACATTGCTATTTACAGTACAATTCATAGCAGTAGCAAAATTACAGCTATGATGAAGTAGCAATGAAGATAATTTCATGGTTGGGGGTCACCACAACATGAGGAACTGTGTTAAAGGGGCACAGCATTAGGAAAGTTCTCAACCTAATCAATTGATGCCTACGGGCATCGTCTTAATTGTTAACTGACCCAGCCCACTGTGGGCAGCATCACTCTCTAGGCAATGGGATTCTGAGCTATATGAAACAGGAGAAAGCTAGATGAGAGCAAACAGCTCCCTGCTCTTGAGCATAATATGACTAGCTGCTTGAGTTGCTGCCTCTGAAATAAGACTGCAACCTAGAATCGTCAGCTATATAAACCCTTTCCACCTTGAGCTGTTGTGTGTTTGTGTGTGTGTGTGGGGGGGCTGTTAGGGGATCTTTATGAAATATTCTTTCTCTTATTCAGGTCAGGGTGAGCTTGAATTCACAGAGATCCACCTGCCTCTGGGATTAAAGTCCTGCCTGAAGCTACAACTTAACAGGATGAACAGGGGATGAGCAGGGTCTTCTGGTCCCTTCCAGTTTAGAGTTGCCTCTCCTTGGAAACCATCCAAGCTTGAAATAAAACATGTAGATTCTGAGTGCTAAAAATAGATACTCTCTCTTTCTGACTGTGAAAAATACTGCATGCTGTTCCCAGGAGGCTGGGAGGGGCTGCAGGACCCCACTACACCCATTACTTGAGCCCAGCTCCACCCAACCTTAGAGACAGTACAAGGTAGGTGGAGTCTTGGGCCCCAAGGAAAACAGCTAGAAGCTCCAGCTATCTACCCCACTAATTCAACATGGAGTGTTAGATTAATCTGGGATGGCTAATCCTAGGGATACAGCCCAGGAGACCATGAACACTACTAATAAAACCATCAACAGCCTATACCTGGATGTCCACAGAGACCCCTGGCCTCCTCCTCAACCTCACTGGTCCCTACTCTCCATCTATCTCACTGACTTTGAAGGGATGTGGGAAAAAGAGCAAGGCTCTGAGCATGCCAGTCCTGGCCAGGAACCACAGTAGATGTGGTGGCCATTCTTGGTTTTTGTGGTGACCCCTATAGGCTCTTAGATTTGAATGCTTGGTACTAGAGATTGGCTCTATTGGAAAGGATTAGGAGGTGTGGCTCTGCTGGAGGAAGTGCATCACTAGGGGTGACTGTAGACCTGGATGTAGGGCTCTCAGCTACTGCTCCAGCTGCAAGTCTACCTGCATGCCGCCATGCTTCCCCTGAAACTGTAAGCCAGCCCCTATGAAATGTTTTCCTTTATGGGAGTTGCCGTGGTTGTGGAGCAACAGAACACAGACTAAGACGGCTGTCAAATTGACTACATTCGGCATTAACTAAAACCAAAAGACTGGGCACACTTGTGAGGGATTTTTTTTTTTCTTAATTAAACCACTTGAAGTAGAAAGACCCACCACTTCTAATCGGATCTTTGAGATGGGAAGATAAACCTTTAATACAGATCTCTGAGGTGGGAAGCGCCTCCTTTAATCTTGGTCACGCCTCCTGCTGGCAGCCTATATAAATGTCAGAGGAGGCCGCTGGTGCTCTATGCCTGCCCCTCTCACTCTTGCTAGCAAGTTTACTCCTTCACTGGCGTTAGAGCCTCCTTCTTCAGGGTTCTGGTGAATACTGAAGACCCTGAGGCACCCTCGTGGACTTAACAATTACTGGATATTTTTTGTTTGTTTGGTTGGTTGGTTTGGTGTTTCAAGGCAGGGTTTCTCTCTGTAGCTTTGGTCACTCTGTAGACTAGGCTGGTCTCTCACTCACAGAGATCGACCTGCTTCTGCCTCCCCAATGCTGGGATTAAAGGCATATGCTGCCCAGTGGATTCTTCTCAACTATTGGACTTTCTGAAGCTACTCTAATAAACTCTGTGAGAGAGAGAGAGAGAGAGAAAGAAAAACCCTCCCCCCTTGTAAGTTCTGTTACTCTGGAAAACCCCAACTAATACACACACCTTCTTCCATCCTGGCCTAAGTCTGTGGGGGAGGGGAACATGCCCATCGTGCCTCAGTTTCTCATCTGCACATCACTGTGACATTTTCATGACCCTCTGGGAAAGGTAATGGCCCAGCATGAAGCACTGTTTGAGTTTGACGTTGCTCGGGATGGTACCTAGGGCTTTAAGATTCTAGGTAAAGCACTCCTGCTAAACTACCCACCGGAGGGGGTAGGCCACCCTGACCAAGAATGATCCATCACCCACAGCCCATGCATACTAAGCACTTCTTACCCCAAAACAAACAACAAAAAATATCTGTCGCCCCACAAGGCGGAGGTCAGAATAAGTGACCTAGCATAGTCAAGTGTCACACGCTCACACATGCTTACTATCTTAGCTGGGCAACACTAGTCCCTATCCTGAAATATACTCAGTCAAGAGACATATGGCCCAGTGTTGGTGACGCATGGCTTTAGTCCCAGCACTCTGGAGGCAGAGGCAGGCGGATCTCTGTGAGTTCGAGGCCAGCCTGGTCTACAGAGTGAGTTCCATGACAAGCTCCAAAGCAACAAAAATTAAAAAAAAAAAAAAAAAAAAAAAAAAAAAAAGGACAGAGAGGGAGATAACCTGGAGCTGGGAATGTGCCTCGGTTGGCAGAACTCGCCCAACATGCATGAAACCCTGAGTTCTACACCCTCATCCTACAAAAAGGGTAGTGAGTACCTTCCCTCTTGGGCAGGTAGAGGCCAGAGAATCAGGAATTCAAGGCTAGCCTGAGCTACAGGAAAACCAGTCTTAAAACAACAAGGGGCCAGCCAGGTGGCTTAGCAGATAAAGAAGATTTTGGCCAAGCTGAAGATCTGAGTTCAATTCCTAGGACCCACATGATGGGAAAGAAAACTGACCCCACCGATTCTTCTGATGCCTATATGCAAGCCACAGCATGCACATGCCCACACAATATAAACAGAATATATCTTTAAAAACAAAAGACAGACAGACTGATAGCTGAGGGTATGGCCCAGTAGCAGTGATCTTTGCTTAATTAGGCATGAGGGTCCAGGTTCCATCCTCAGCACCATTAAAAAATAGAGTGGAATCAGGTGACTGCACTGGGTCTCAGTGTTCCCCTCTAAGAATGGACACTTGGATGTGTCTATCGGTAGGGTTCAGTGATAAGAGTTGCTGGACAGTCCTAACAGGCTTCATCTGGAACAAAGTTGTGTCTAGATCATCCTTCCAACAGGCTCTGTTGACTGGACAAAGCAGGGGACACAGAGACAGGCCAGGACCCATGTCCTTTACAAACAGCAGGGCCCTGGGCATGGAGAATGTGGGGTACTCACGGCAGAACCTGAGGAAGTCTGACTGTAGCTCCTTCCGCGTGTTCAAAAACACCCTTCCCTTCTCGGTGCCCATCACGAAGACGCTCTCATTGTGTACCGCCACGCAGGCCACCTCTGTGTTCAGCTTAGAGAGAGCAGAGCACTGTGGGGAAAGAGGGAGGTGTGTGAGCTAAATCAGGACCAGCCTGGAACCCACCACTCAGGAGGCTGAGACAGGATGATGGCGAGTGTGAGGCTAGCTCTGGCTACAGAGATGAAGCTATTGATGAGAGATGAGCCCTCCAGCCCATTTTGGCAGCCCTCTCTACACAGTAAAAATGGGCACCACGCAGCCCTGGAAAACGTGGCAGTAGATTTTCAATATTATGATTATAGGGAAAGGATCTCTACAAGCAGGGTTATCAAGATGGCTCCATGGGGAAACTGCTTGTCTTCCAAGCGCAAAGACCTGAGTTCGATTCCCAGCACTCATGAGGAAGGGGCTGGGAGTGAAGATGGGGATGAGGCTGGGGGACTGTTAGTGGGCAAAGCATTTTCGGCAGAATCATAGGGACCAGAGTTTGGACCCCCAGCACCTATATAAACGATGGGTGGCTGTGGCAGTTCTCCTATCTCCCCATCAATTGCGAAGTGCAGGCAGGGGATCCTGGGAGCTGGCTGGCTAACCTGCTGAATGGGCAAGGCAAGGTGCAATGTCTTGTACTCAACATATAAGACAGCAATGGAGGAAGACACAGGAGGTCAATCTCTGGCCTCCATACATTACAACAGGACCAAGTAGAGTCATTGGTCTCCTAAGCATGGACAGCTTCCCTTCTAGATTGTTCCTGTTGTGCTCCAGGTGCAATCACATGTAAAAAATACACACACACACACACACACACACACACACACACACTAGCAATCCCAGCACTAGGGAAATAGAGACAGGAGGGCTTTCTAGCCAACTAATCTATGTGATGAGTTCAGGCCAGTGTGAGATCCTGCCTCAAAACTAAAATAAGATGATCTCCAGCCATCCCACTAATCTCAGAAGCTAAGCAGGGTCAAGCCTGGTTAGTACTTGGATGGGAGACTGCTTGGAAGTACTAGGTGCTGTAGGCTTAGCTGGGTGTGCTGGCTCACATCTATAATCTCAGCACGCAGGGAGGCTGAGACAGGAGAACTGCCATGAGTCTGAGGCCAGCCTGCGCTACATAGTAAGTTCAGGTCATCCTGAACTATAGAGTGAGATCCTGTTCCAAACAAACAAGCCAAGAAATAAGATGAAATATAATAAAAACAAAGTAATGGTACCTGAAGAATGAAATCCACAGCTGAGTTGTGGCCTCTACATGCATGCATACAACACCTGCACACCCACACCACCCTCGCAGAATTCTAGGTTGCTACACCCAAACTGGCTTACTTTTGTGACCCCAAGTTATAACCAAGGCCACAGTATGAAAATCCTTGAAAGCAAAACCCTGTGGTCTTTGTGCCAACTAGCACTTGAAATACTTCTGCTGTGGAATAATCCTTTTGTACACTGTGAAGGTGTGTTGCTCTCATTGATTTAATGAAGAGCCAACTGGCCAATAGCCAGACAGGAAGAGTCTAAGTGGGAGAGAGGGACTGAGAGAGTGCTGGGAAGAAGGGCAGAGTCGCCAGCCTGATACAGAGGAAGCAGGAGATGAACATGCTGTGCTGAAAAAAGGTACTGCTGGGTGGTGGCGCACATCTTTAATCCCAGCACTCGGGAGGCAGAGGCAGGCGGATCTCTGAGTTCAAGGCCAGCCTGGTCTACCGAGTTCCAGGACAGGCTCCAAAGCTACCCAAAAAACAAAAACAAAGCAAAAAGAAAGAAAGAAAGAAAAGGAAAGAAAAGAAAAAAAAAGAAAGGCACTGCCACATAGCAAAGTGTATATAAGGGTTATGGATTAATTTAAATTGTAAGAGCTAGTTAGTAACAAGCCTAAGCTATTGGCCAAACATTTCCTTATAATAAGTCTCTGTGTGGAGATTTGGGAACTGGCTGACAGGACAAAGCTGACTGGTGGGACAGAAAACCCCACCTACAAAGTTCTGTGCTCTGTGACCCTGGGGCAAGTTCTTCAACCTCTTGGGACCACAATCCCACCTCTTGTGCCAGCCTTAGCCAAGCAGGAGTCCCTGGGCAGGACTAAGTTTAGGGACCGCCTATGGCGTGAGAGACTGACTCAAAACAACAAAATGCAAATAACTACATGTGGCTGGTGGCACTGTCCCTCAGGGCACATCATTCATACCCACCACCGCTGACAGGTTAGTGAGGTTCAGGACACACGTAGTGGTCACTGTAGAGAAAGAGCTAGCACCCAGCTTACATCTGAGGGCATCTCCCACTTCAGGCCTACATATGAGCTTGAGTAGCCCACAACAAGAACAACCTAGAAAGGAGGTCCCTATGCTTAGGAGACCAGTGACTCTGTATTGGATCACGCTGTGTGACCTCAAGCAAGATGCTACCTTCTCTGAGTTTCCATTTTATCTTTGTAAAATGCTAATTGATGCCAAGCAGACCTACGTTTTGTTTTTGACTGCTTTGTGTGTGTGGTGCTGGGATTTGAACCCAGAGCCTATTATTCCATGTTAAACTCTTGCTTTATCAGTGAGCTCAGTCATAACCTTTCAGGGTTTCACTCTAGCCCAGGGTGGTCTGGAAATCAAGATCTTTCCTGTTTGCAACCTCCTGAGTGTGGGATTCCAGGCACATGTGTGTAACGAACATACATAAATACATACATACGCATCTTGGTATCTATACAAAAGTTTGCATGTGTGTGGAGGCCAGAGGACAACCTTAACTGTTGTTTCTCAGACACCATTCATATTGCTTGTTTATTTGTTTACTTGTGTTTACGGCAGGGTCATTTGCTGACTTGGAGCTTGCCTAGTAGGCCTCCTTGACACTGGGATTATGAGTGTATGCCAGGCCTGGCTTTTTGTGTTGTTGTTTTTTCAGTTTTTTAGTTTTTCTTGACAGGATTTCTCTGTGGCTTTGGAGGCTGTCCTAGAACTCGCTCAGTAGACTAGGATGGCCTTGAACTCACAGAGATCTGCCGGTCTCTGCCTTCTGAGCGCTAGGATTAAAGGCATGGGTCAATACCGCCACTTTACCACTTGAGCTATCTCTCCACACCTCAGAGATGGATGTAACCTCTCAGCAGTCCCCCATCTTGATCTCGGGCCCTCTTCCCACCCGGGCAGACACTCACCATTGAGTCTAAGGCAGACACCAGGCTGTTGATGAGTTCGTCTTTGCGGGCGAAGGTGGTGTTCCAGCGCTCAGACCCGCAGCCGTTGGTGGGGATGTCACAGTGCTTCCCCAGCAAGGCCATGGTCACCTAGAGAAAACAGTGAGGACACAGTGGGTAGCAGACACATTAGCACACCTGGCTCCCAGGGTCACCTGGACTTCATAAGTGGGACAGGGTGTCAACGAGACTTCCTTCCCAGCATTCCATGGCCTAAAAGGTTAGACACAGAGTTGAGCCTTCACAGACCAGGAGACAGCAGCTACTACAAAAACAAGCAGAAATCTAAGTAAATAATGTATAACTACTTCCTCCCATTTGGAACATTTTCGGAGAATTTAAACATTGTCTCCCAGAGGAAGGTTCTTGAAACTCAAGAACAAAACGACATACATAACTCAGGAAACTCATAAGGCTCAGGAAGTTCAGGAAACTCAGGAAGCTTACAAGACCCAGGAAACTCAGAAGCTCACAAACCTCAGGAAGCTCAGAAAGTCGTGAGGTTCCCAAGGCCCCTTCCAAAGTTTCTAAGTGCAGACAGTAATTGTGTATGAGGGGGTGGAGCAGGGAAACAGGGCACCCTTCTATTGAGCTGTCTGAAGCTCATACAGAGTTCCAGAGAGGCAACTTTTTGTGAGTGGCCTCAGCCATGCTGAGGTGGGCTTTTTAATGAGTCATCCCCAGTAACCCCGTATCCATTATGGTGGTTTGAATGAGAATGGTTCCCACCGGCTCGAATGTCTGAATGCTTTATCCGCAGTTAGAGAACTGTTTGAGAAGGATTGGAGGTGTGGTCTTGTTGGAGTGGGTGTGGCCTTACTGCAGGAAGTGTGTCACTGGAGGTGGGCTCTGATGCTGCCTATGCATGAGGATGTAAAGCTCTCAGCTACCATTCCAGGGCCATGCCTATCTGCTTCCTGTCATGATAACCAAGCCTCTAAAACTGTAAGCAAGCCCTCGATCAAAATGCTTTTTTCCCCTGCAAACTGTCCTGGCCGTGTCTCTCCTCACAGCAATAATGTAGACACCCAAACTTCTGTAAGTTACCAAAACTCACTCATTCATTCACCAAGCTAACCTCGGGTGGAATTCTTTCTTCAGTCTGTTGCGAGTGCCCTTCTAGGGCAGACGTTTACTCATGTCTCTCCATAAAGAGACACACAACAAGCTGGGCAGTGGTGGCTCACGCCTTTAGCCCCAGCACTCAGGAGGAAGAGGTAGGCAGAGCTCCATGGGTTCAAAGACAGCCTGGTCTATACAGAGCAAGTTCCAGGACAGTCAGAACTACCCAGAGAGACCCTATCTCGAAAAACCAAAGACACAACAGCAACATAGCTGAGGGCTGTGCCCCAAGGAACAATCCTCCAGGTATTCAATCCACAACTGAAGCGAGACAAATACCACAATATTAATCTTCCAGGGAAGTCTTAACTGCCAATGTTTTCCATGTGTGTAACTCCAGTCACAGCCCTCTCCGGCTCACACACCCTCCGTGGCTCCCTACTGCCCACACATGTTGAACAAGGCCTTCCTTACTTTGTAGCCTGGGCTGTTTCAGTTCCTGATCTTCCTTCCTTTCTCACCTGTCAAGTACTGACTGGGATTGCTGGCCTGTGCCCACATCCCTACAACCAACCCTGGCAGAAGGGCACTGACCGCCTCTTCCATAGCGAGACTGGGCATTGCCCTCTACAGCTCTGTACACACCTCTGGACTTGGTCACAAGTTCCCAGATCAAGGCCACTGCCCTGAAGCCTGAGTCTGCTTCCTGGATGTGGGACAGGGACTTGGAGCAGGTGCAGATGGCCATAACAGGGCACAGGCACTTCCTCAAACTAGGAATTCCCCAGGAAAGGACTTTGTCCCAACTTACCGGGGCCCCATCCACCTTGTCCTTTAAAGGCCTCCTTGCCTTGCTCAACCCTAAACCCAAAGACAAGGCTGCTGATGTCTGGTGGATGTCTGTCCCTAGGAATGGGAAGGGGGGCTTGCGGTCCTCACTTTCTGCCTCACTAGCCCAAGAGAAAAGAGCAGGGGCAGAAGCAAGGGCAGGGCACTCTCTGGGCTTGTTCCTAGGGTTCTCTAAGGCTCCTGGCTGGGTGTGTCAGCCATGGATAGATCTGTAGAGTCCACACCCTGTTTGCCACCTGTCTGCCACCTGTCAACAAAGCTTCTACAGGCTCCCTGGGTGGGGTAGGGAAAAGCCAGGCGACAGGGCTCTCTCCAGGTCTACAGCCTAAAAGGGCACCAAGCCTTGGATGTCTACTGCCACCACAACTGACTTCCAGACTGCAGGCTCTGCAAGGGCCAAACTGTGTCTGCCCACCATGGCTGACCCCCCCCCCCAGGACCCAATTCACTGTCCCATGTGTTTAATGGGCCAGGTATAGCATCCCAGACATACATCCCACCCTCAAACCTGGCTGCAGTCTGGTGGGAAGCTCAAGACAGCAGCAGGTGTCATATGTGGGCAAGAGAATGCAACAGGAAACACTGGACCATTAAAACAGAATAGAGAACAGAATAGCTCTGGACTACAAGAAACAAAACAAAACAAAAACCAAAAAAAAAAAAAAACAAAAAAACAAAAAAACAAAAAAACCAAACTGGATTTCGAAGGCCAGTGAAACGGCTGTGGGAGAAAGGGCACTTACTAAGGACCTGAGTGGATGCCCTGGGTCCCACATGGTAGAAGAAGAGAACCGAAGCTTGCAAGTCCGTCCTCTCACCTCTACAGGCATGTGGTGGCATGTGCACACACATACATGTACATACACCAGAATAAATTAGTAGAAGTGCAGGAAAAATTAAATGGTTGTAACAGGGCCTACTGGCTCATCCAGTTATCTCAGCTACTCAGATGACTGAAGCAGGAGCACCTCAAGTTCAAGGATGGCCTAAGCTACGGAGTTCAAGCCATCCTGGGAAACATAGTAAAATTCTATCTCCAATAACAACATCAAAAGATTTTAAGAGGGCTGTGTATATGGCTCAGCAGTAGAGCACCTGCCTAGAATCCTCCAGTGAGGGGCTGGGGTGTGGCTCAGTGGTAGAGCACCTGCCTAGAATCCCCCAGTGAGGGGCTGGGGCGTGGCTCAGTGGTGGAGCACCTGCCTAGAATCCCCCAGTGAGGGGCTGGGGCATGGCTCAGTGGTAGAGCACCTGCCTAGAACCACCCCCCCATGAGGGTCTAGGGAGCATACTTATATATCAGCACATCTGCCTAGCAAGTTCAAAGCCCTGAATTCCATTGCCAGAACCACAAAAATAAGTTACTAATCAATCAATAAGCCAAGCCAGGTGGTGCACACCTATAATTCCAAGCATACAGGAAACAGAGGATGACCAGGAATTCAAAGACATCATTGGCTACAGGGTGAGTCTGAGACCAGACTGGCTGCATGAGACTCTATCTCAAAACAAGTAACAAAGGAAATAAAAATAACCAGGTATAATGGTGTACACCTTTAATCCCAGCACTCAGGAGGCAGAGGCAGGTGGATACCTGTGAGTTCATTTCTAGCCTGGTCTATAAATCAAGTTCCAGGACAGCCAGAACTCCAGAGCTTTTAGACAGAGAAAATCTGCCTCAAACAACAACACACAAAAAAAAAGCAAGACATAGAATATACATCAGACTGGTCACTCAAGGATATAGGAGACAGGCAGGCCATGGATAGGATGCACTAAGAGGCTGCAGGTGGTTCTGTCTTGGCCGTTCGGTGGCCCTATGTCACCCTGCTGGGGAAATGGGGAGAATGTACTGTATAACTGTACTCATTCTCAAGTCCCTAGCCAAGAGGCCTGCCTGCCTGGGAGCCTGAGGGTTCCTACACAGCCAGACCTACAGCCATCACTGCCAGCTGCTCCTTTGAGCCCTTGGGCCATTCCCAGAAAAATTCTGGGTTGCCAGCCTCCCAGCTGCCCAGACCCAAATCAAATCAGGGCCAGGCAAGCAGCAGTAGTTGGCACTCTTGACCTCCAGCTCGCTCCAGACTGCCCTGACTCCTTCTGGCCAAGGTCCTAATCTACTTAGAACCAGGGACTCTGAGCCAGAGGACTAAGGAGACAGAAGGGAGCCGAGCTGTGGGCTATCCTAAATCCTGGACCTAGCAGCTGGACTTAGAGGCCCCTCTGTCTCCAAGGGAGTCCAGGTGAGGCACTTGGGAAGCTGCCTGTGCAGGGTAGAAACCAACAAAAGCCCCAGGCCCAGGTATGCTAGGAGCACATGAGTGTAAATGGGTTCGTTAGTAAAAGCAGGGCCAAATGAAAGGGGAAAAAAGGGCTGGCGAGATGACTCAGTGGTAAAGGCACCTGCCACCAAACCTGCCAAGTTTGATCCCCTAGATATGCATGGTGGAAGGAGACAACCAAACTCTCTAAGTTGTCCTCTGACCTCCATATACATGAACCATGGTGTGAGCATGCACACGAACACACACTCAGAACCCTAAGTAAAAATTGATTTTTAATCAATAAATAAGGCAGGTTAAAGTTAAAAAAATGATTTGTACTTAGTGTTAAGGGATGGAAAACACGGAACAACAAGTATAACAAGCAGTTAAGTCCCCAGGGGAGGGGAGGGGACCAGGAGAAGAGAGGTCCCAGCCCAAAGCAATTACAGTAGAACTGCAGAGGAGGTGTGAAAGCCCAGTGTGGTGGCTTATGCCTATAAGGCGAGAGGACTGTGACTTCCAGGTTACCCCTGGCTACACAGTGAGACTGTATCTCAAAAAAGCAGGACAAGAAAGATGGCTCTGTTGGTGGTGGATGTGCTTGCCACCAAGCCTGACAATCTGAGTTGACTCTCCAGGGCTCAAAATAGTAGAACGAGAAAACTGACTCCAACATGTTGTCCTCCAATCTCCACACACATGAAGTGGCATTGCAAGCATGAGTGAGTGCACACACACACGAGCACGCCTATACAAAAAATATAAAGAAAAAAATCCAGCGCCCTCGTCATCAAGGCAGGCACTGTGGGAACTGGGCTCATCTGCCCTCTTCCTTCTGCATGGGTCTCCAAGCCTAGGTCGCCCACTTGCTACCTGTTCACTCACTCACTCCCTCGGGCACACCTTGATAGCCAA